GCTCCGAACACCAGACAGGGGTGTTTGATAGATAGTCTAATCTCTACTGTACTTAGTGAAAATGCAATTTCATATGTCATGGTCTTTTGAAAACAAATCTGAAACAATAACTATCCAGCTCTGGTTGAGCAAGAGGATCAGAAGTTCAAGGCCAACCTAGGCTCTAGCGAGATGTTGCTTCAAAACAAAGCCAACAGGTAGTGAGGATCTTTTAAAAGCACTGCAATATTCATTTAGTAAAAAATATCACTTAAATTTTATATTTAATTGCATTTTTTTTCAAATTGAAATCTTACATGATTGCCCTACTCTGGCCAAAAAGGTACCTTTAACATGAAAGAAAGGGTTGTTTTTGCCAATGCCTACCTTAAGACAGTTTACATGACATTTCTGGAACTCCTGGTTATGGGAATTTGCTGACAGCACCAATAATTTAAGATTTTCTGTTGTTGGACTCAAATGCACAATGTCAGAATTAGCTTAGTCTTGTTCAGGGTGGGTGGTATTTGAATTTTAGAAATCTCTTAACCAAAGTCTCATAATTCATTGAGCATAACCTGTTTTATGTCTCCCCAAATAGGATGAATGGAGTTGGCACATGCCACGAGAGGTCTTGTCACTAAAGCAGATTATAGCGACATGTAATGTGGTGTCACAGTGCTCCCCTCATGGACAGCAAAAAGACTGGCACCAACACAGACATGCTCAAGAAGGTTAGCTCTGGCTATCATCATCTACGTGGCAATGCTATTGCTGTCACATCTTTATAAACCTCTGACTCATACCAGTATCCCCCTCTCCTTATTTCGGATCTTCTGTGTGGTCAGCACTACTATAAACAATGGGATGAAATGGAGGCTGGAACAAGGCCTTATCACCTGGATATAGACTTTTGCAGAGGGAAAGCTGTCTTGGAACTTCCACCTTCATTGCTATAATATTTATTTTTCTTAATAATGATTCCTCTTTGAAGCACACTGAAGGAGAGCAAATGAAAGTGACAGACGGAAGCCATCTGCGGTTGTCTGAGCAGAGACCCAGGTGGACTCCGTGTGCACACATTGGTGCTTTGCCTTAGAATCTTCTCTTCTAGCCACCTTTGTCTGTCTTCCGGGTACGCTTTCCCAGTATCTTCCACTTCAGTAAACAGAGCTCTCTGACTTCGTCATTGAAACTCAACAAATCAAGACAGCATTATTAGAGAAGAAAAAGCTACCCAACACGACATTAAGCCTCACAAATTTTTGTTTGTAGAACTCGTCATCATTTCTGATTCAGAATTCTTTTAAAGTAACCTTTCAAAACGCACACTTTAGCCTAGCCAATGACATGAAGTTTAATACATGGCTACTCAGAATTAGGGGGAGGGTGATAGAGAAAGTTTACAAAATTAAAATATATATATTTTTTTAATGAAAAGAAACATACATTCACTTCTAATTCACATAGCCTATTTGCCTTCATAGTTGTCTCTCACACACTAGTTTTTAAACATTGCTTATGAAATTAAATAACATGGAAAAATAAATATGCTTTATTATATAAAGACATATAAATCTGTACCACTCAAAACATTCAGACATACGTAAATGTGGCTGCTTAAAACTATTTTCAGAAAATACGGTTGTGATATTTATACTCTTTTTTTTTCTGTGATATAATGAGGTTGTAAAACACTGATGTCAAACATTTTCTCTCTCTACCTATAGAAACTGCACAGTGTGATAGGAAAATGAGGTAGACACAAGTACTGAAGTTTGCCAGGCTGAAACAAAAGCATCGCTCCCTTGCAAGCACATAATCTCTCATCATTCAGGTCCAGAAGCACAGATCTCAAAGGCTCAGAGAACACTTTTTGAGTTGTCATGGAAACACCCAAACAAGCAATTTCTGTAGAGAAGAACCGCCATCTACAAGATGATCAGTGAACAGAAACACAGGGCAATGCAAAAAGAAACGTCACCAGACTGTCCTGGGAACGTGGCGGTGACAGTGACGTGACTTTCTTCCTCTAGATGGATTTGCTCAGTCTAGAATGTTCCTGATTTACAAGACATTTCTTACTTCACCTTGACAATATAGGGTTCTCTTTCCAATTTGACCCCATTTTTCATAGCATAGATGTATTGATTACCCAATGTGCTTTTGGGATTGGCTCAATAGTTCAACAGAGCTGAAGAACACTGTTTCACAAACTAAGGTCCAGGGACATTATTTTTTAAAGGCCAGAAAAGAAAATTTTGTGGTATTTTTTTCTCAAGCATGATTTTTTTTTTCTTTTCTTGTTTTTTGAGACAGAGTCTTACTTGTAGCTCTGGCTGGCCTGGAACTTACGGCCCCAAACTATAGGTGATCCTCCTGACTCAGTCTCCTGAGTGCTGGGTCACCGGCATGAGTTACTGCAACCAGTGTTACAAAAATGAGTCTTAGCTCTGCAGTGACTCGAATCAGAACCAATGGTCTCTCTGAAAGGGTTGTTTGAATATTAAATTCAAAGAAGTTTCATTGTGGAGACTTTGGAAGTTGTAGCAACAATGATTTGGGGTTTCTTTCTCAAATACTCCTTCATAGGCAGTGGTGACGTAAGCTGTCTCCACTTGACCTTGGCTGTATCACACAGCAGTTGTTGCTTTGCGATGTGACAGTGTCTATGTGTGGGAGTCCCTGGGAGCCAAAGCAACCTGCTGGAGGAGTCATGGCCACCCTGGCCTCTAGTCAGTCTAAGCTGCTTTCTATCAGAAGCAAGATGTTAGCACCTCAAATGCACTTTTCTCTTTTGTACACTTGTTAACATTACTGTAGGTCCAATGGTAAAGCACCATAAAAAGAGTTCATGGCTAGAAACAGGAGTCATTGAGGTATGCTGAAATGTAGAAGTCCTAAGACATTATACCAAAGCATCCATGTAAATAAACATAAAATAATCAAAATCAAAATCCTAGAGTCTGAATGATTGCTCGCTAACATGCACATAAAATCAATATATTTAAATTGCCTATCTACTTAAACAAAATTCTTTTGATTTGGTTCTTTAAAAAAAAAATCACAGTTTAAAAGCCTTGCAAAAGTGACCTTTCTCTTAAGACAATAGAAGAATTGAAGTCTGAAAGTCAAACTAACAATCGCTTTATGAGATCACACAGGCAGCAAAGCTTCCTTTAAAATCCATGTCTGCAGATGCCAGGGCTCAGAACTTCTACTCGCCTTCCTGCCTCTCTGATAGTTTAGAAAACTGTATGTAGCCCCAAGAAGAACAGCGATATTAAATATGCCCTATGTTTTCAGTTAAAACAATCAGCAGCCTATATTTAAAGATTTAAGCTATTAAATTATCAATAGGGGAATATATTGAGAGAATGTTCCAGAAAAAGAAACTAGCATATATATGTATGTCCATACACATACATATATGTGAATATATATATATATATATATGCACAGATACATCCCTAGCACTATATTTTATAACTCACTATGAATATATTTTTTCTATTTTCCTAAAAAAATTTATTTTAGATAATTATGAGATGATTTAAGGGTTAAAATCTGGAGAAGGAAAACACAGATTTCTTTTCTTCATCAAACCACAAGGCTATATAATGAGGAGTGTCTCACAGAGGCCTAACCAGTAACTTTAGAACTAGTGGCCTATTACTTTTGAGAGTGTGAATGGAGCTGGGGGAATTAGGTCTGGTGTTGTCTGTACCCAGAGTGAGTATGCCGTGGGCTCGAGAAGGAACATTTCATGGACAGTAGTATGTAGCAATCACAGAGAAATTGGGGCTTTCAAAGAACATTCTGTCTGTCCTAATGTTACCTCAAACCTTCAAAGCATTCATCTGGAAAAGGTGCCGGTGTTGAAGACAAAATATCCCCAGAGAACTATAGATGTGACACCGTAACTTTTCTTACACTCTAGAACAAAAGCCTACATCCTAGCTAAAGAGCATAGTCTGAGGCCATGTTTCTACTTCTAGTTCTCTGCTGTGTGCAAAAGCCTTACAACTGATTGGGTCACCCTGCAGATGCAGTCACTGATGCCGAAACCCTTGACTTTGGGAGCATCAATGGGTGTCAATCATGCTACTTTAGTTACTCTGCTCTTCACCTGGCACTAGAATTGAGTAAGACCTTCCAAGACAAGACTGAATAAAAATGGGGCTTCTGGAAATGACTTTATATAACACTGATTTCAGCTTCATTGTGATTAATGTGCTTATAGGAATATTTACTGTACTTAGATACATCAGATCTATTGGCTCCATATTTTTGTCACAGCTTAGCCAATGTGCTGTGTTGACACGGTTAATCCATCTGCTTGCTAAGAGCTGCCCCAGAAGTTTGTATAGTATTTACAATGGCGAAACCTGCCTTGCCGTGTCAGCTGCTGGCTAAGGAAAACGAGGAGCAATGGAAAAGCTTGTCCCAGATGGACTTCCTGTCTGGGGACAGGGAAGAGATTCCAGATACCTCGGAAGGTGATAGGTCACTGACGACACTGCTGGGCACCTATATTTCCAACATGACTCGTCTATTGGTGGGTATAGACTTTATGCTGATTGTGTGAAGATATATATATCCAAGGCTCGCAGAAGCAAATGTTAGTAGTTGAAGAAAAAAAATTGCACTAGCCTCAGTGAGCAGGAACCTTACTCCAATAGCCAGAGCTACCACAGCCTAGAAAGCAAAGACTGGCTCCTTTTGGGCTATTTCTCTAAATCACTATCAATGTACATACACACAGCTCTTCTAGGCAAAGGATGCTACTTCTGGGCACCATTCCTGCATGAGGTATTTGTGTTCTGTAGAGTCACTTCGGCAGTGCCGTACAGTGTTAATTCTACCGTGCTGTAACAGGGAGAAAGTAAGAGGGCTTTCAGAGCACAGTATCAAGGGTGCTTTCATGGGTGTGACAGTTCTTGGCTAGGAAGGCATGCCCCAGAATACTCATAACATTGTCTGAGAGTTTGGGTAACAAACATGAAGCATTAGGGCCGTACCGAGCTCCAAGGGCCAGTACTCCATGCAGCGTCTTGTGGGCAAGCTTGTGTGTTGCACTGCTCACGGTCCGGAGGCTTGTCAAGAACTTCACAGCTCAAATCTGGGAACCGGTCACCGTTGGCCCGCTGACAGACCACCAGTCTCGTCCGCATGCCTCCGCCACACAGCTTGGTACACTGGAAGAGGGACAAAGGACGCGCCAGTGATTTTGTGTGAATAGCACATGGCAAAGTCTATTCCCCACAGGAAACTTTTCTTGGCTACGCTTTATTACGGCATTGGGCAGCCTAAGTCTGACAGACAGAGCCAAGGCAAATTGCCAACAATGATACGGCCAATGGACCGTGGTTCCTGTGAATATGAAGTATCCCTCAGTGAGGGCTTCTTTTATATCTGTAATATGAACTTTTTCTTTTTATAGAGCTCACCTCATCAGGTTGAGAACACAGTTACTTGCCCCATATATAAAATGAAGGTTGGGAAGTTAATCACTCTTGATCCATTAACCAGTAGCTAAGACAAAATTCTTTGAGGCATACAAAAACCAGTAAATTAAAAAATAACCTGAAACTACTCAACATTGAATAAAAAAGATAATGACTTGGCCTGTTTTATTTTATTTTTTGGTAGTTGGTAATTTCTTTGTTTTTGTTTTGAGACAAAGTTCACTGTGCAGTCTAGGCTAGTCTGGAACTCACTGTAATCCAGACTGACCTCCTATCTCAGCCTCCTGGATGCTGGGATTATTGAAATGAGCAGCCAAGCCCAACTTCAAGTTTTATTTTTAAATGTTGCTGAGGATTTAATCCAAGGACTGAGTTTTACACAAACCCACACATTCTGGCAATTCTGCTGATTCTCTTATTCCAGTTATGATGCTCAACTGTTTAACTCTATCTTCAAACCTCAGGACAAGTACAACTGTCCTCTAGGAGGAATATACAGCATGATGGGAATGAATGCTAGCTGATGTTCTGACTCTTGGCAGGATTCTCATTTGTGAGACAGGAACAAATTGTATTTCTTGGACAGTGTTGCCTCACTCATATCCAGGAACACAGACATTGAGTTTCCCTGCTGCGTCAAGGCCGGCTCTCCCACAACACTTGGACGGGTCAGTCTGTGATAACTGAAAACATCCCAGCAAAGGCGTGGACTCACCTGGCTTGGATCCAACTACAGAAGCCTAATTATGGATCCCACAGGACAAAACTACAGAGTGTTGGGAAGACTCACATCACAGGAGTCTCAAAGCCCCTCTTCTCCTCCTTCCTCAGTATCACTGCCCAGAATGACATCAGTGAAAGTCAACAAAAATTCCTGGGTCAATTGCCTGTGACTTCTAGGTTATGCGTATGAAATGATGAGACACAAGAATGTGGACTAATGAGCCCATCACCTTCTGTGTCTTTTTTTCTTCCTCTTTGTGCTGTGGTCTCCCAGGTGTTAATTTTCAGGCTTTATGTGGTAAACAGTCAAGACAGAACAACTCAATGAGCCTTAAGTATGTACTTCCCTTACACATTCAATCAGAGAGAGCAATTTTGAGTAACATAAATATGCATATAAGTCCTGCTATAAAGTATAACAAGAGCTCAAAATGCCCAACACTACTACTACCAATGCATATCATTCTTACTATTAATAAAGTAAGTTATTATTGCATTATTACAGTATCATTTGATTGATTGAAGTTTACATGCTAGGCATTTAATGGATGCTGTCTCATATAATAGTTATAAATATTATGCAGGTGGTACTATTATTATTCCAGTTTATAGATAGTGATATGAAAATTGGGCTAAATTACGTTACTTGTTAATATCACAAAAGTGATAAAGGTCGTACCTAGGTCCAGCCAGATCCTGCATATCCCGAACCAGGGTCTAGCTGGTGAGACTGCCTGATCCTTCCCTCCATGCACCCTCCTCAACTCCCCAGATGTAACCCAAGTTCCATATTCAGTGCCCTGGAATAGTTACACCCCAGCTTTTATGGCCTTCAGCCTCCAGGCATACATAGGAAGAGATCTCGGACACACTCCCGTTCACAATACCCTCTAAGAAAATAAAATATCTAGGAATAAACTTAATCAGGGGTAAAGGACCTCTACAATAAAAACTTTCAGTCTCTGAAGGAAAAGACAAAGACACTAGGAAATGGAAAGACATACCATTAACATGTTCATGGATTGACAGAATTGGTATTGTGAAAATGACCATTCGGTCAAAAGTTATTTACAGATTCTATGCAATCCCAATCAAAATCATCATCTCATTCTTCGTAGCAGTTTTAAAAAATCAGGTTACCAAAAATAGACACTGGGTAGCAAAAATAATCCTGAGCAAGAAGAACAATGCTGGATAGACTATCATTCTAGACGTCAAGTTATATTATAGAACCATAGTAATTAAAACATTATGACACTTGCCTTAGGTTTTCCTATTGCTGTGATAAATCACCATGACCAAAGCAACAAGGGTTCATTTCATCTTACACTTCGAGGCAAAAGCCCATCACTGAGGGAAGTCAGGACAGTAACTCATGTAGGACAGGAACCTGGAGGCAGGGACTGATGCAGAAGCCATGGCTTGCTCTCTATGGGTTATTTAACTTGTTTTCTTAAATAGCCCAGGACCATCTGCCCAGAAATGGTTCCACTTTCAATGGTCTGGGCCCTTCAACATCAATTACTAATTAAGAAAATGCCCTACGTGCTTGCCTACAGAACAGTCTTTTTAAGGCATGTTCTCAATTCCCTTTTCTCAGATAACTCTAGCTTGGGTCAAATTTACAAGAAAAAAAAAACATGGGGACAGAGGTACTTACTGATGCAAAAACAGACATATGGACCAATGGAACAAAACTGAATACCTGAATATGAGGACACTTAACTACAGCCATCTAATATGTAATATTTGACAAAGATTCCAAATATATATACTAGAGAAAAGAAAGCATCTTCAACAAATGATGCTGGGGAAACTGGATGTCCATATGGAAAAAAAAAGTGAAATTAGACCCATATCTATCATCTTGCACAAAAACTAACTCCAAAGGGATCAAAGACCTATTTGTAAAATCTAAAGCGTAGAAGTGACCAGAAATAACAGAAGCAAAAGGCAATAGGCACAGGATACAGGTATACGGAAGGACTTTCTGAATAGGACCCGATTTGCCCAGAAATTGAGGCCACCAAGTGGCAGGTGAGAACTCATAAAACTAAACAGCTCTGTACAGCTAAGGAAATAGCCAGCCAAGCGAAGAGGAGTCCCACAGAGCGGAAAGAATCTTTGCCAGCTATACATCTGACAGAGAATTAATATCTATAGTACACAAAGAACTTAAACTACAAAAAGAAAAGCTGAAATGGCCCACTTTAAAAAAAAGGTTGGCTTGGTATTTGAACAGAGAGTTCTTAAAAAAAAGAGAGAGAGAGGGAAAAATGGCTATGAAATATCTCAACCAAGTGCGCCATCCCTAACAATTAGAGAACTGAGAATCAAAACAAGACTGAGATTTCATTTTACCCCAGTCAGAATGGCAAAAATCAATAAAGCAACTGACAACAAATGCTGGAGGGGATTTGAGGAAAAGGGAGCTCTCCCTCACTGTTGGTGTGATTGCAAACTGGTCCAGATGGAAAGCAGCATGGAGAAGCCTCAAAAAACCTAAAAATAAATCTACCACATGACCCAGCTTTATCCCTCCTTGACATACGCCCAAAGGACTGGCCATCGTACTCCACAGACACTTCCTCCATGGTGCTCATTGCAGCTCTGTTCACAATGGTAGAAAATGAAAACAACCTAAAAGTCCTTCCACAGACAATGGGTCATGAAAATGTGGCACGCATACACTGTGGAATATCATTCCGCTATAAAGAAAAATTAAATCATGAAACTTTCAGGTAAATGGATGAAACTAGAAAAGATCAAATTGAAAAATGTAACTCAGACCCAGAGAGACAAATGTCACTTGTTCTCTCTCTTATCTGTGTTTCTTAAAAGGGACCAGAGGTTGGTAGGGGGCGGGGTGAAGCAGTAGAGAGGGGAATAACAGGGTATAGTGATTTGTAGAGGAAATGGGAACAAAGGGGATTCTTTAATTAGGGAGAGGGGAAGGATATAAAGAAGTGGAGAGGAGGGTAAGATACAGTAGAGATGTCTGGAAAAGTCATAAGGAATCTACCTAACATTATATATAAAATACTGACAAGTCTGTGTATACATATACATATACATTATTCATATACATATACAGTTACATATATTGTCTGGCCGACAATGCTGTGTATACATATACATATGCATATATAGTTACATATATTGACTGGGCCGACAATGCTTCCTCCAATAGCTATGGACTATCTAACAGTACCCCAACACCACATGTGAGAAGCCTTCTTTTGAGCTGTTGGTTTGGAGTTGTCTAAGAGACTCTCAAAACACAGGCTATTGCTGTCACCCTTGGTTGCCTCCCAGAGATGGAAGATAAGTACATGGGCTGAAAACCCCGTGTACTTCAGAAACAGGATCCAGAGGATCCAAGCTGGGTTGACCTCAAAGCCTCCTCCCTAAGAACTCGCTTTCATGGAACCAGGAGGTGTCATGCAGCCTTCCAAATGAGGAAAGTGACCAATAGTCCTACCCAGCTACGATACCTATATACTAAAAAGTATCCAGCATGACAATATCCCTAAGGGTGCAGCAGCAGCATGCACACCTTGGTGGTAACCAACAGCTCACTAATTGGACTTGAGGTCTGTTCAAGAAGAAGGAAATCTTGTATAGAACTCAAAACACACCAGCTACCTGAGGCATACCTTCTAACTTCATTCTAAATATTTATTCTTTTTTTTTGTATAGAAGAGTCATTTATTCCAATAATTACATCAGATGACATATCAACATAGTCATGTTGCTTTGGAAGAAATCCAAGAGCAGGATTCCTAGTTGAACAATCTGTAGAAAATGAAACAGGAAATGGAAGTGATTTTGAATCTGAGACTTGTCTTGGATCTTTAAAAGAGATTTTAGAATGTATCCTACATTGAAAGCTTGGTGCAGCCAGTGTCTTCTCTGTTTTTCACTGGCTACCAACTGTCTTGCTTATTTTTTGCATTTGCAGATTTTAAAAACAGTCATTCTCTCCTGATGAGTAGGGATTTGCTGATTTTACTAAATGTTTATTCTTATACTCACCATCGGAGAAATATCTCTTTGCAATCATTACAGAAAACCACAACCAATCAAAATGCAGAGAACAAGTGGCCATGTGGTGCCCAGCCCTGACTGATACAGCTACAACACAGCTCATGCACCTAAGACTCAGGGATCAGCGAGGAAAAGATTGTAGCAGCTAGAAGAGCAGGATGTTTGCTGTGAGATTTCATCTCGTAGAAATGTCAGAGAAGCTATGCTAATGGAATCTCATCAACAAGGCTGCCTAAACAAGTCCTGAACAAGGATGGCACCAACAGACATGCTAACATGGAAGGGAAATCTCACAGGACCCCAACCCTAGACAAAGAACTATGGGCAACTAATGAATGTCGAGAGCAGGAGGGAGAAAGAGTCTTCCCCAGGGTCGAGCACCAAAATTAGTTATCTGATAGCAAGTGAACATCCCTGAAATCATATACATACAAGTCACAATGTATGGAGAGAGCAGGTTGTACTTACATATTTAGGGTTATTAAATGTATATATAATATATATAAAAGAAACAAAGAGCATGAATTTGAGAGAGAACAGGGGAATGCATGGGAAGGCCTGAAGTAAAGAGGAAAGGGGAGGGGGAAAATGGTGTAATTAGATCTTAAAAAACAAACAAAACAAAACAAAAAACATAGCCAGGAAATAGACCTGTTTTTATGCACTCCAAACACCGCGTTACCACTTGTCAGGCAAAGTGGGCCATTTTACAAAGCTAACAGTCACAGCAATCACAACTGGAGAACAGGAGGCTATACAGCTCATCATTCATTCAATGTGTCTGTGACAGGAATAACACCCATTCTGGTTTTGTGAGGAATTTGAAATCTTGGAAGGCACTCTGCCATGGGAAAGAGCGCACCCAAAAGTATAACAGAAATGGCAAGACTCCCATGGGCTACTTTAACATGTGATTTCCATCCTTAGAAGCATTCATTTCTTAGCCATCAGAGGGTAACTAACAAACAACTTAGACCTAGATTTATGTACAGTATTTCCTCATTCTCTACCTCCTACATAGCCAAGCTTCTCTTGTTAGCAGTAAGTGCATTTAAGAAGCAGGATAGAACTAAGAGAAATCTCCTAGGGAATCCCAGGTCTAGACACTCCTCCTAGATCTAGTTCTGAAAAATAAAATATTAAACAATAGTAGCCAGTCAAGAAAGGACAGATAGACCGACGGTTTGCTCTTACCTCTCCCCAGCTGCCGTAAGCCCATTGGGGACACGGGCCAGATTCACAGGCTCTTTGCTCATCAGGTTTGATTCTCTCTACACAATCACTGGCCGTGTATCCGTTTTCATCCTGACACACCACAACTCTCCTCTGGGACCCTCCGGCACAGGTACTAGAACACTAAGCACACACAACAGCAGACTTATCCTCAGCACCACACATAAACCAGCTGGCTGAAAGGTCAGCGGCAAATGACAGAGACTGCTTTCAAGTCTTCATACTCAGTGGGGAAAGGGAGCTGGGAAACTGGGCCCTTCCCCAAGGTGGGGTTGTTCATTTTGTACACACATGCAAATGACTGGACGGTAGAGATGGGCTTCTCTTCACCTTCCCCAGGCCGTCAGGAGGTATGAAACCCTTATGAGTGACAATGTTTATAGAGCCCTCAGTGCAACCCTGTTCATTGCCCTCCTGTGTCTTGTCCTCATTTCTGAGAGGGACAGAAGTGTCAAGAGGCACTGTAGTTTGTGGACACTTTTTTTTTTTTTTTTTTAACATGTCAAGAGCTCCTTTAGAACCAATGCTTGAGTCTCTTTCAACACAGAGGTTAACTCATACTTAATGAATTGCCAGTTGTGGAAATCGAGCTTCTGTATGAACTCATTCAGTGTGTCCATAAAGGTACCACAGAATGTCATTTAGACATTACTTCCTAGTAGGTGACTAGTCCCATCATCTCCCCCGCTTTACAAGAACCCCTGTTTGAGTGGCTGGTGATAGTAAGACCTATTTTATTTGCTTTTCACTTCCTCAATGAACTTAACTGATTTCCATCCCCACACTTCTCTCTTCAGGCCATTTTATTGGAATGTTCTAGAACGGCTGTTGTTGTTTGCATTTCAGTTGGTTCCCACGCACACTTCTCATAGCTCTCCTATGAATCTACAGGTGGAGTGTTTCTCTTTCCAGAAATTCTTTACTTCCTTAAGCTAGTGCATTTTCTAGCACCTTCCATTATGGCCCTTGTTGTAAAATTGGCAAGCTTATACTCATTGAGTCTCCAAAGCAATGCAGTCTTCTCCAACTAACCCTCCTTGATTGGGGACTCTGCCTCAGGACAGAATCATTCAACCTGAAGCAAATATATCCTCCCTATAAATGGACTTAAATGAAAACAGTACTAAACCATGAAACAAAACCACAACACCAAACCAAACAACAAAACTTTCATAGAATCACCAAAATATACACATGCAAATTCTAAAAATTTTTTTTCAACCAGGAAAGACCATGACACATTCTCCCCCATCATCCTTCAGTTTTCAGAACTGGAAGCTTTCCTAAGTGAGAGGCTTGCAGGAAACAGGAGAGGAGGAGAAGCAAGGGGCTGGCTCACACAAAGCCGAGAGCCACACTGAGGGGTCCAAATACAGAATCCAATCAGCACTCACAGGCCAGTATTTCTCCTGCATTCACACTCACTGTGGGGAGCAGCAGACATCTAATTCCTTTTAGCTCAGAAATAATTGAACACAATTAGCAGTGCTGGAAGGACACTGAAAGTAAAAAGCTAACAAGACCCCCAGAGTGGTCAGCACACCCCCTCTAATGACGTGGCTATCCGAATCTGTGGTCACCCTTCTCCTCGGGAATTCCATCAAGTGTTTCAGTATTCCACAATGCATTTTTTGAAAAATTATCCAGCATAACAGTTCAAAACATCCAAGTGCATTTTTTTTTCTTTTGACATCTTTTTCAATGCCTTTCGTAGATGAAAGGACAATAATAAGGACTGTGTTAAAGACAACAATCCGTCGTTGCTGGCCTTCATCCTGTAGCTGGTGAACCACAAAGCAATTCTGGAATCATCTCCATTCACTGGGAAACTAGAGAAAGCAAGACAACGTTGTCCTTCTCTTACAGACAGGAAACTGAGGTTTGCAGGGGGAAAGGCCACCTGCCTCCATTAAGAACTCCTTTTTAGTCTGGGAGCTAGCTCATTGGGTTAATGTGCTGGCTGCCGAGCCTGATACCTTGAGTTCAATCCTTGAGCCCACACAGTGGAAGGAGAGAACCAGCCCTAGCTAGCTATGCTCTGATTTTCACAATCATGCCACGGCACACACATGCACAAATAAATAAGCATCCAAAAAGGAAAGAAAGAAAAAAGAATTCCTCCTCAGAAAAGTTTCTCTGCCCCCTCTCCTGCCTGCCCCCCTCCCAGTTCAGCCATGAAGACTGTCACCCAGAAGTGACACCCCCTCCTCCAACTACAAAGGCGCTCTTCTCCGGGGACTGCAATGAAGCCATTGTATTCGCCCAGCTTGACTGCAAATGTGTCAATAATCTTTCAAAGGCAAATTTCTTCAGAAGCAATTCTAGTCTGTTTTCCTTAGGGCACTACCCAAGTAGGAGAGAAGCAGGCAAAGTGGATACTCACTGCTCCCCAAGGGCCGGTTCTCCACTGGTTTCCTCCAAGCACGTGGGTGCGGCTAGGGCTGTCACTCCGGGGACGGAAGTCCTCGTTTTGAAATGGGTAAGCAAAGCCAGCGCTTGGGTTCCGTTGAGGGCATGGTGACATGGAACAGTCCTGGTCAGTCTCTGGGATATAATCCTGGTCACACTCACTCCGATCAATCACGTGGTCGCTGTAGTTGACACATACCACTTGTCGGGTTGCCTTACCTTGCCCACAAGTCACGGAACACTATGTTGAATATTCAGAAAGAAAAAGGGCTATCATTTGTGAGTCTGAGTTACATTCTTGAGTATATGTTTCTTCAGGTGGCGGAACATTTTCCCAGGTGCCCAGCTTAAAGTCTTAGAATCATCCTTGACTGCTTTCTCTTATTCCCATCTAATATCTCTTTTGCCAAGAAATGCTGTCAATGTAGCATTCAAGATACATCCAGATCCCAGCCACATCTGTTTCTACCCTCACTTCTCTTGTCCAAGAAAGGCATAACCTTCCCTTGTCAGGATGAATATAATAGTTATCAACTGGACTTCTGCTTAGGACTTGACATGCTCTACATATGTGTCATTTGCCAGTGTGACAAAATGCCACCCATTACCACTTAACTCATGCATCCATCTGGTGACTTCCCAGCTCACTTAAAATAACATTCAAACTCCTTGTTGTTGATTTGCGAGGCACTTGATTACGGAGCCTCTGGGTACTTCCTCTTCTGTTCTCTTATTCCCCATATACTGCACTTAGAGCTTCCTGAACAAGCCAAGAACCTCCCATCTCAGGGGCAGCCTGTCTTCAATAGTACCCGTGGCACCACATAGATAGTATTGTGCTTTTCTCTCCCACTTCATGCATAAAAGTGAGAATTTTTTTTTTGTCATTTGTTGAGTACTTACTTTTCTGTTAAGTATTCAACATATATAAATCTCAATCATAACAATGTTATAAAATGGGTGATCATTTCATTTGTTTTTTAAATACAATTTTATTCACCTATTCAATTTTATTTGCACGTGTATGTGCATTTGTATGGTATATGTGTGTGTGTTAGTGTGTGTGTTTGTACAGGTCAGAGGAGAATGACCAGTGTTGTCCACCTGTAGCTCCTTGTCTTATTCCCTGGGGACAGTGTCTCTCATAAACCAGAAGCTCTCCATTTTCAGCTAGCGTGGCTAGTCAGTGAGCTCAGGGGAGTCACTGGGATCTTTTTCTCTCTGCTCCCGAGCACTGAGTTTACTAACATGCCAGCTTTTACATGGGGGCCGGGAATTTAAACTTAGATTCTCATACTGGCACAGAGTGCTCTTCCCCACTGACCCATCTCCTCAGCCCATTCTTCTAAGAGCAGAGGAAAAATGAGGTTCAAAGACTTTAAATCGCTTAAAACCAGGCAACCGATAAATGACTAGGCCTAGGTTTCTCCCTAGCTCTGTGACTCCGTGTCTCATACACAAATTTTGAAATTTTCTGCAACACTAATCTTGTGTCTCCTCACCCTTCTTGTTCACCTAACCTAAGCTACTTCCTGGATTCTGGGCTTGATGAAGGGCTGAGAACAGAAGTTGCCTCAAGAGAAGGTTCATCTGCTTTTATAAAAGCCCATGCAGATGGGGCTTGTATGCTTAGAAGGCTGGGCTCATGGGACTGTGAGAAGGTCCCCATGGCTGTCCTGGAAGGGAACCAAGGGACACCTGCCTTTGAGGGATCACAGGATGCATGGGCAATCAGACTCAAAGTCCGAGAACCCCAGCTGTCTCCCTCTCCTTGCCATTATTTGGGCTAGGTAAGTCAGTCTACTACCCACTAACAGAGCTCTACAGATGGAGATTTGCAGTTAGCCCAGCAGGAGAGGCACTTGAGCAGACAGGATACTGATATACATATTTTTAAATGTGCATTCCTTGCGCAGTTGACTAAGATTCCTTTTATACTTAGCTAGATACATATATATGGAACAGGCTAATTTAAATCTCAAGTCCAACTCTGAAATATAACCCATTCATATAACATGGACCCTTCAACTTCTTATCCTCCCTCATCTTCCAATCCTCCCCAACCCCTCAAAATCCACGCTTACGGAGCTCCAGTCTAGAGCCTTCCACTGTCCACAGGGTGTCACAGAACATTCTTCCTTGGCTACTGGTTTAGGTAAGGTAGCACAGGCACTCTCATCAGCCACAGAACCGTCCTCATCTCGACAGCTGACATATCTCATCCGGGTTCCTTTTCCACAAGTGGCTGAGCACTGGGTGTTGGAGTGAAACGACACAGACATGTCATTTGAAATGGCTTCTTGGCGTTTTTCACTTAGTCCTGTTTCTTATCAGTCCTTAGCCCCCTTTCTATAGTCATGTCAGAGAACAGCTGTCTCCCTTGCACACCTCCCCAGTTTTCTCCCAGTCTGTTTCTTACTGGAGTCCAAGACCCAAATCGCCACTGGGTTCTGGGCACACTGTGTGCATTTCTCCTTGGTTCTGGGCCCAACAGGGGAGGATGACAAGATGATAGTTCACAGTCCTAGATGTGAAAGGAGAAAACATTTACCTTCAAGGCAACCTGTGTTTGTAGATACACAGTCATGGTAAGAAAGCACATTGTACCAAGAAATCTAAGCACTCTGATTTCTGCCTGTTTCTACAAGTCCCAGGACCGCTCTTAGCCCCAGTCTCTTCAATGGCAAAGAGGGATACAAGCTGAATCATTTTCTGGATGCCTTAACACAGGGCAGGGTCTACTTAATGATCGTTAAAGCCCTGTTTATTCACCTGCTCATAGAAAAAGAGGGAACACTGTGAAGGAGTGCGCATGTCTGGAAAAAGCAGGATATCATTTAAAAATTATTAACTGTTAATGTTTAAAAATTCTCAAGGCTAAATTGTGTTCTCACATTTCAGGTAGTTTCCTAATCAAAACTTGCTAATCATGAACTTGTTTTCCCAGGGCACCTAAAGATAACACCCAGGGTCCTGAAGGTCAACCTTAGATACAAAAGGAATTTTCTGTAGGCCATTGGGGGGAATTCACATAATGCCCCTCAGTCAGTCACTCAGAGAGACATGCTGTAGTGAACTCAATCATCTGTGGATAGATACTAGTCTCCCATTTACAGAGTGGAGAACAAAAGAGCACACCTGTTTATAATCACTCCCAGCCTCAGGAGCTCCACATAGCTCCTTGATTTGATACATAGTTATCAAAGGCCCAAGAGTCAGCTGACCTGGAGCAAAAGTGCTGTGGTGGCCTGAGATTGAAGGTCACTGATGTTTCCTTGCCTTAAAACTTTACATATGGCGTGAAAATTCTACTACCTGGCTCCATGCCTGGCATTTTCCTTTGCCTGTGCTCCAAAGAGAGTCCTAAGGGATTTTTGCAGAAAGTAAATAATGTGTCCATAGGCTTCAGCCATTGGGAGTCTATGGATAAATGAACACTCCTGAATGAGAGTGAGAAATCCTGTTTTGAATCTCTAAGAAATTGATAAATTTTCTCTTGATGTGAGGACTGACATTTTCTTGGGACTAATGATGATGTGGTGTGTGTGTGTGTGTGTGTGTGTGTGTGTGTGTGTGTGTGTGTGTGTGTGTTTGTGTGTATGTACATGTGAGCATGTGGAGGCCAGAGGGTGTTTATTGGCTATTTTTCTTAATCACTCTGTACCTTAATTTTAGAGACAGGATCTCTCACACAATGTGAAGCTCACTGATTGGCTGTGCTTGCTGGCCCATGAGTTGCAAGGATACACCTATCTCTGCCTCCTACCTCAGGGTTACAGATACACACCACTATGTCCAGCTTTTGCAGGGGTGCTGGGGAACTGAACTCAAGTTTTCATGATTGTGCAGCAAGAATTTTCCCAACAGAGCCAGTTCCCTTCCTCCATCTCCATGTCATTTTGAACATTTTTATAAAATGATAAAACCATGTTTATACAGGTACAGTACTTGTTAGGTTAATTGATCAGCAACAATAATACGATCAATGTCACCATATTCACCCCTCGTGATTCTTCATTCAGAAATGACACATGGTAATATGCCCCCAACCGAGGGTGCTTAGCACAGAGGCAATCAGTTGGCTATACAAGGCCTTTCTCAAAACATGAGTTCTGAGTATAGTCTTGGCCCAAATCTGTCTTTAGCAGTTATCAAATCTGATATGAAAATTCAAATCTTCTCTTTTCATAAATGATACCAAGATCAAGGAATGTACAGAACAGTGAGCTTGTGAGGTAGTATGTTCTCATGAGGGAAAAAACTCATGTACACATGCATACATGCCTATGTACATGTGTACGTGTATGTGTTTGCACACACAAGCATTACACACAGACACTTGTATTTGTGTGCATATTTAGAAATTTTACTGAGTTAATAAATGATATATAGCAAAAAATTTACAAATGACATTAAAACCTATAATTATCTCACATTTCATATAGCCAGTTAGTGCTAATAAGACTTATATTGATTTTTTTTTGTTCAACTTTTGAACCTATTGCCAAAGGTTGACTATAATTGCCGAAAAATATAGTTGAAATGTGTTACTGAATTATAATGTTTGGATGTTTAGGAGGAAGGTGAAAGTGAATTGTAGATGGTTTTTACAACTTGACTCACCAAGCACCACCTTGGAAGATCTCTTTGAGATGAGGGTGGGAATGTAGCTTAGTGGGTAGAGTCCTTGCTAGCATGCATGCAATCCTAGGTTCAATATGCAGGACTGCTTAAACCAGTGCAGCACACGTCTGGAATCTAATGACTCAGGAGGTAGAAGGCAAGAGAGTCGGAAGTGCAAGATTGTCCTTGGCTATAAAGAATGAAGCCAGGCTGCCTGAGACTTTCCTAAAGAAAAATTCTTTGCAGAACCAGATAATAATTTTCCAATATTCACTTCTGGGTGTTATTCATAGTGAAATAATTTCAAATTATTAAAGTTTCTCTATCACTTTCCTAGGTTGGAAACCACTGACAATCAGTAAGCGAAGTTGAAGTTATAGCCCCTGCTGGTATCTGTGTGGCATGTTCTCTCACCATGCCAGTTTCCAAGTTATGCACTTGGAAGTGTTGAGGAGACACTCTCAGCAGCACACCACAGGCACATACAGGTGTCAATGACCTCGTGAGCACAGGAGACTGCGACATCTAGTAAAAATCTACGTGGGGAGTTTTGAGGATTTAGCAGCTCTCCTTCTCCCCACTATTTTCCAGTTTTAAGGGTGGCCGGCCACATGCAGCCTCCCTCTCACTAGGCTTCTCCGAAGTTGCTCTTGGGCCTTGCGAGCTGCTCCAAACTACTCTGAGCAGCACACACTCCTTACACTTATGTTTAAACTACCCGAGTCTTCAAGTAAATAATGTAAGATAGCCAAATTCAAGACAAGACTGCCTAATATTTGCTATCCAACAAGAATGAAACTCTAATCTACAGATACTTAAACAAATAAACAAGACAAAACCAGGAAAAAAGTTAGATTCTAAATGTAGAAAATAAGTCATTTCCAGATAATTTAACAAACACCCCAGGTGTTCTACATATGGATTTCTCTATGAAAATGCTTTGGTCTTGTCTGAACCAGTGAGACATTTTGACCCTTTGCTGCCCAAAGCCAGTAGCTGAGTTGAAATGGGAGACTCACCTGGGTATCGGTCGGCCTAGTTGCTGCGTTACAGACATTGTCATCTACCACTGACATGTAAGTCCCAATGACGCACTTCACTGCCCTTAGTTGGTATCCCTGTCCACAAGTGGCACTGCACTGGGGGAATGAAATAAAACAAAAGTTTCACCAAACCTGTTCTTTCATGTACTCACCCCATAATATTCTGTAAGAGAAAAGTCCTTCTCTCAGAGTGGACCCGAGGACTGACACCCGGGGATTAGGTAAAACTATGTAATCTTGCTTCCTACAATTTACCCTGGCCAATTATGATGACATTTAGAATTATTTCTGTCTGCTACTGGAATTACACTTGCCAGTGTACACCTCCTTGACTGTGAGCACCAAGAGGGAGAGAAGCATAACCATAATTTTCATACTCCTCACACTCTACCTACTAGAGTACCCTGGTTAACACAGGTGTTTAGTAGAGACCTCTGTAATCTTCAACTTCTGGAACAGAATTCTCAGGAAGTAACTGAAAGTTGTATCAATGTTTCTGCATAGGACACTCTTTGCAATATCATTTACAAGAATGAGACAAGATATTGGAAAGGATCCATGTGACAGTGAAAAGTTAGTTAAATATATCATGGCGTATAAGTAATACAGAGATCAATATGGCTGTTGTAAGGCACACTGCCAGAATTCCAGGCCAAGGAAAGGCATGGGGGTGGAGGTGTGATGGGGAAGACAGCCAAAGATGTGGGGAATCATTCCCTACACTGAAGAGCTCACTAAGCCAGCAACAACTGCTAACGGTTCACTATTGATGGGCTGGGGTTTAAGGACAGTAACTTTTAAACCTTGCAGTAGGTAGATGAGTACCTACTGAAGAAAGAAGCTGCCAAATTCGGTAACAAGGTAGCACAACACTTTTGCTCTTCCAACCATGGTGTGAATTTATATCAATGCGCATGAGACATTGTTCCAAGAGAGGCCACCCAACAAGTATCAGTCCATCTAAAAGATGACATCGTAACGTAGTTTCTCTGACAACAATGGAATGGGGCAATAACAGAAGCCAACCTGGAAAGTTCGCCGATGTGTGGGAACTAAGAAACTCTTAAGCAACATGTCAGAGAACAAATCACAGAGATATTAGACAACACTGGAGAAAAAGAAATAGTCCATGACTAGAAGACACGGCGAAAGCAGGGGTCATCAGGAAACTTATCCCTGCAAACCCTGTAAAAATTAGGAAGAAAGACTTCACAGCCACAGTCGAACTTCAGCAATAGGAGCATCAAGTTGTGGAGGGTAACTAATAGCATTGGCAATATAGCCTGTAGTATTATGGGGGTTGGGGGTGTCTATGGGATCTCTTTGGCCAATGACTCAAAAAGATGTAACCCATTCCTGGTACTGGGGTTTTTATTTGGTAGCATTTGGTGTCTAGTTGGGGTATTCTCCCCTATTATGTGGTGACTTTGTTTATATTCAGTTTTCTTCAATGGAGTGACACTGGTATATTATCACACTCCAAGGCAGACTACTCAGGAGTAGATGACCAACACAAATCAGACTTCATGGTTTTTAATGGCCCTTTCCTTTTCTCTTTCTTTCTTTCTTTTTTTTATCTTTTCAAGACAGGGTTTCTCTGTGGAGTTTTGGTGCCTGTCTTGGATCTCACCCTGTAGACCAGGCTGGCCTCGAACTCACAGAGATCCACCTAGCTCTGCTCTCCAGTGCTGGGATTAAAGGCATGTGCCACTGCCGCCCATCATCTTCTGGGTTTTTTTTTTTTTTTTTTTTTTTTTTTTTTTTTTTAAGAGAGAGAAAGAACATGACATTGGGTGAGTAGGAGATTGGGAGGATTTGTGAGGAGTTGAGGGATGGGAAAGAATATGAGAAAAAATATACTGTATAAAGTTATCAATAAATTAAAAGAAATAAAAAATAACCTAACTTTGTTAAGGAACAAAGAGAAGAGCAAGCTAAACCCCAAAGACGAAGAAAGTAAGTAATACATACAGAGTATATATGAATGGGTTACAGAATAAAACAAAGTAACAGAGGAGCAGAGGTGTGGCTCAGTGGGAAAGCACATGATTGGCATGCATGAGGTCCTAGGTTCAATCCCTACTACCAAAAGAGAGAGAAGATATAAATATATGAAATATCTACCAAAAGAGGCTGACTCAATTATAAAAAATTCCTAATAAAGTCCGAGTGAATGCTACTAAATATTTAAAGGAAGGTTAACATCAGTCCTTTCAAACACTTCCAAAATATTGAGGAGGAATTATTTCCCACAAGGTCAACACCTAAATATGCAAGAAGCAAATATCTTGTCTCTTATAAAAAAAAAAATATTGCAAAGAGCATTCTAGGCAAGAATGTTGATGCAACTCTCAATTATCTCTTGAGAATTTATCCCACAGGGCCAGCATAATCTTAATATCAAAAGCAAGGGGGGCAGAATATGGACAAAAATCTCTTGTAAATAAAGGTGCAAAGCTTTTCAAGAAAACACGAGCAATCAAAACCTGTGACATAGTATGGGTCATAATCACGTGGGAGTTAGCACAGGAATGCAATTTAAAAAATAATTCATATGAGTAGATAAAACAGAAAGAAAAAAATACCTAAAGAAGACCTATGATCATATCAATAGATAAAAAGAAGTCACTTGGCCAAATTAAAAAAAACAAAAACTTTTCATGCAAATGTACCCCCCCCCAAAAAAAAACAATTGAGAGGGCACTTCCTCACCATGGTGGAAAGTACCTAAAAGCCCCTGTGTGCTTCACACAAATGGGAGAGACTTTCTCCTGAGGTCAGGAATGTGAAAAGGACATCTCCTATCACCTCTGCGATTCTGAGCACACTGGGGGTCTAGCCAGAGACAAAAGCAAGAAGTAAAAGGCAGATTGGAGAGAGAAGCCAAGCCTTGCCTGTCTGCAGGGGTTACCACAACAGACACAGAACCTGCAGAGAAACCACCATACCTAACACCCAAATCCAGCAGTTTCAGGAACCAACTGAGTAATAATAATAATAATAGAAAAATCTATTATTTTAAAAATAATAAAAAAAGATGTGTTTCTGCATATCATCAAAAATAACTAAAAGGGAAATTAAGGTGAGCACATTTATAGTAACATCCCAAAGAATAAAAAGCAATGGGAAAAAAAATGTAGTTATAAATGTGAAAGAATTCTACAATAAAATCTGTAAAGGACTGCAGAAGAAATTAGGCTTAAATAAATTGGAAGATTACTTGTTCACTGAAAATATGGCTAAACATACCAACATTCCCCAAACTGATCTAGAGTTCATTCAAACCCAGTGAAAAATCACATGACTTTGGTGAAGAATGTAAAAACTTATCTTTAAGTTCTTGCAGAATGGTAAGAGATTCCAAGTATCAACAAATAGAGAAAAAGAAGAAGAAAATTGGAGGATTTGTATTTTCCAATCTCAAAATTTTTGAAAGGGATTGAAATGATATCATGCTGGCATAAAGACTGCCATGAGACTAGTTCTGAGCCCAGGAAAAATCTTCTACATTTTTGCTCAAGTGATTTTTGACAGGTATCCCAATACTCTTTAACAGAGAGAGAATCTCTCTTCAACAAATAGTGCAGGGACAGCTGTTTACCCACATGTGTGAAGCCAGACTCTACCTCATGTATACAGAAAATTAACAATGCATCAGTTGCCTAAAGCAAATAGCTCCAACTATTCAACTCTCAAAGGAAAAAGGGCATTTGTGATATTGTGTTTGACAATCTTTGTGCACTATGATACTACAAGCAAAGACAACAAAAGAATAAATAAATTGCATTCCATCAGAATGGAAAACCATCTGTCCATCGAAGGACATGATCAACAGAGTAAAAAGCAACCAAGGAGATAGTAGAAAATATTTGTAAGTGATAAATCTGATTTTTAAAAATCAGTACCCAGGACATATACAGACTTCACATAACATCATCCACAACTTTATGCCCTTCAAACGATTGGATGAGACTAGGAAAAGGAATGGTACTGGGTGGAGCATGTGAAAAATGGGAAAAGGTGCATTTTAAAGTGGTTTAGAGGTTTGTTTGTTTAACCCTTTCTCCCCCTTTTTTGGACAGAGTTTCATGTAGTTCAGGCTGGCCTTACACTGTCTATAATTGTCAGGGTTGACCCTGAACTTCTGATCCTGCTACCTCTATCTCCTGATTACTGCAATGATAGGAATGTGCCACTGTGCCCAGTGTATGCAATGCTAGGGATGGAATCCAGGACTTTGTTCATGCAAGGCGAGCACTCTACCTATGGAGCTACAGCCCCAGGTCCAATGGGCTGAATTATAATCTTTTTTTTTTTTTTGGTTTTTCGAGACAGGGTTTCTCTGTGTAGCTTTGCACCTGTCCTGGAACTCACTTGGTAGACCAGGCTGGCCTCGAACTCACAGAGATCCGCCTGGCTCTGCCTCCCAAGTGCTGGGATTAAAGGCGTGCGCCACCACCGCCCGGCTTATAATCTTTTTAAATGGACAAGCAGTTGGGATAGATATTCCTCTAAAGAAGATATTTAAGTGGTAACAAACTCATGGCAAATGGCTCAGCATCTTTTTCTATTAGGGAAAGATAACTAGAAACCATAGTGAGACAGCACTTTACACTCAGTAGGAGGCCTACAATTTCAAAAATGGAAAATAGTAACTGTTGACAATGACAGAGAAATTGTATATTGCTTATCTATTGTATATTGCTGGGAGGGGTGGAAAACGGCACAGCCTCCATGGAAAGCCACTTGGAAGTTAAAAACCAAAACATAGAATTACTATAGGAGCCAGTAATTACATCCCTGGGCAATAGATTCCAAATAAGTGGCATTAGGTACTAAAATAAATACTTGTTCATTTATGCCAGCAAAACTCATAGTAGCCAAAATGTGAAAAGAACCCAAATATCCATCTTAGACGCTCATTCACACAGTGGAATATGATTCGGGAATTAAAAGGAAGGAGTGCTGATACATGCTGCTGTGCAGACGGACTCAGAAAGCTTTATGCAGTGTGAATGAGGCCAGCCAGAGGCCATGTGTTACATACAGCCACCCACCCTTAAGAAAAGTCCAGCATGTTGCAAATCCACAGACCCAGAATACAAATGGATGGTTGCCAGAGACTAAGGAAGAGGGGGATGGGGTTTCTTTTGGGGTGCTGGAAATAGTTTGAAAGTAGACTGAGGTCATAGAGTGTGAATATACTGAATATCACTGATTTGTTCCCTTTAAAGCAGTCAAGTGTATGTCCTGCATGTTTCTAGTCAATCAAAAATACAGGCAGAGTATAATTCCACTGCCCGGTTTAAAAATGTGAAAAGGAAAAAAAAACCCACAAATAAACAACAACGAAGCCAAATTTGGCACAGTCAGCAGTGTGTTTGATTTTCTTCTCTTTGCTATCACATATTTTGGAAATTTTTGGTATGAATATTTATGGCTCTTTAGTAAGGTCTAAAAACTAAGTGGTTTGCCTGCGTTGCATGATGAGTTAAAGAAAGGGCAAATCTCTTGTAAGGGAGATGGGAGAAGAGTAGATTGGTGTGACGTCACGTCTTGACATTGATCTCAAAAAAAAAAGTGTGTTAACATTTTTTTCATTAGTCTGGAAACTAGATTTGGACAAATAGGAAGCGCTATTAAGAGAGACTAAAAGGGCTCTTCTCCTTTGTTCAGACATGACTTGCCACTGGACTGGGGGTCCCCTGGAGCAGAAGATTCTAGCAGAAAAGAGGGTAAAGGTGCTTGTCTTCAAGAGGAAGACCTGAATTGGGTTCTTAGGACCCCATGGTGAGGAACCAGCTCAGTAAGTTGTCCTCTAATGCCACAAGTACACTACGGCACACACACTCACACACACACTCTCTTTAACACCCACACATACACTGAACATTAAAAATGTATTAAGAGACATTTTAAAAATACTGTCAGTAAGAATGAGGAAGCCCAAGACGCGGTTGTAAAGCTGGCTGCGTGTGTATTGCATGCAAGTTTGGAAATGGAGACAGAGGCTAGGAACAGGAGTGGCTGTGGCTGGTCAGGGTGGAGGGAGTCATTCTTCAAGAGATTGCATAAGTGACAGCAGACAGCTGTTCCACTTCTACGGGGAACTCGGAGTGCTGCTTAAATAGTACACAGAACTCTCTCGCTTCTATATTAGGAAAGACTGGATTCCAAGAGCAAACTGGGCCCAGGGGACATGCACTCTCTCCTTTTGAAATGGCAGAAGTCTAAGGCAGTGGAACCTATTACACTCTAGAAGACTGGGAAAAGATTCTCAACCCGATGATGATAATTCCGGACCCCTTTGATCTAACCAACCACATTTGAAGAATCTCACTTATTTATGAGAGTTGAGTTTTGGATTCCTTATGTTGGCAGCCAAAATATCCCTTCCCAAGCCCAGCGCAGACCCTCTGCTCCAAATCAGCTGGCAGACAGGATCACATACCCACAGAGGCTCACTCCAGGGAGAATTGCATCTGCCAGATGCCACGTCTGTTGTGAATTTGTTTAAATACTTGTGTGCAGTTTAGAACAGGGTGAAAACCTGCACGTGGGGTTGTAACCTGAGTAATCAGCTCCAGCAGGGGAAGGGAACCCTGGACACACAGCAGGACTGCAGGCCGCTGAGTCCCACATGCTGAACCCAGAGCCACAGAGGTACTGTACAAGCCAGGCTACACAGCCTGGTGGTGAAACCCCACCACTGGAATGCCCCTCTCCAGATAAGCGGGAAAGAATGCAGTTAAGAATCTTATCGTTCAAAATACCTGTCCCCAGGGACCTGCCTGCCAGGCTGCACACTCTGGCTGCTGACAAGTCTGCATGGACTCTGGCTTGACCTCAGGGTCACACATTCTATCACTTAATCGATCTTCGCCAAACTGACACCAGACCTGGCGGTGCTTATGTCCTTTTCCACAGGTGACCAAGCACTGGAATGAAAAGCAGAGGCAGTCAGAGTTGTTTCTGATCAATGTGCTGGGGCCTTGGGGGATGTTCTCCACTGAGAACAGGTGGCCCCTTCCCACGCTCAGCCTCTCTCTACTGCTGGGCAGCAAGAGCGAACACATCCAGCTTTCTTCACTTCCCTTCGTCACTCTCTCTTTCTTGGTTCCCCTTTTCCTCTTTCTTTTTACCCTGGCAGTGCCTCCCAGAGCCCACCCAGGCTGGCCTCCCGTTCACTCTGTGACGGAGGGAGACGGAACATTCTGATCCTCTCACCTCTACTGCCCACTCCTGTCCTTGCCAATGTGCCCACTAACTCTGGTTCCTGTGCAGCTGGGGTCCCACCCACGGCTTTGTGCATGTGAGGGAAGTGCTCTACCCACTGAGCTACATCCCCAGCCCTTCTTTCTGGATTCCCGCTCGACTTCATTACGACATTTTCATGCGTATATGCCATTCCGCTTCACCCGTATCTGCTCCCACTGGATGCTCCCACTCCTCCAGTGCGTTTCTGGCCTCCTTCTCCCCCTTCCCTCCTGCATCTTCTCTCACATTTCCTTTATAGTTAAGGTCTTATGTCCAGTTTCCAACACAGAAACTGAGCAGAGTGCCATGCTCTGACTCTGAGAAACAATAGTCAGGAGGGTCAGTGTGAAGAATTCAAAGCCTGATCAACTTGTACACCTCTACCACCAAGTCACAATGTCTCTGTGCCTCAATATTTACATCTGTAAAATGGGGATAACAATAATTCTGACTCCAAGCAACTGAAGTGTCTAGCACATACGGTCTACATGTATGACATTCTAAAGAAAGAAAAGTTGTTAAATATAGTCATCATAATTATTTGTGCTCATTTTGGAAAAATTTTTAAAAAATGCGTAAAGAGCATAAAAGACAAAGCTAAAATAACCAAAAGTATTTTCAACCCTTTACTGTTCTTTCTAGTCTTTTTATCCAAGGTTGTTGGATGTGAACTGAATGATGGGACAATCAAGCTGGATGCTTAGTGTGATTCAAACTCCCATTTAGTCAAGGCTTGCTACAAAAGTTTCTTCTCCTTTCCTTTTTATTTTATTTTAGAAATGGGTCTCATGTTGCTCAGGCTAACAGAGACTTAAATTCACTACATTACACACAGCCAAGGGTGGTATTGAACTCCTGCTCTCCCAAGGGTAGGATTACAGGCCTGTACCACCACGTCTGGTTATTACTTCATAACTTTATAGTTACACTTTAACTAGTATTAGCTATCTAAGTAAAATGGTGACACCACCATCTTCTGTCATATTTTTTGAAATCAGGGATTTAGTGCTTAACCCACCGCCTGCTGGGAAAGCTCTAGATTGGTTGATCATTTGTCCACAAACCAGACACAGGTGAAGACGCACAGTGCTACTTCACCATTCCAGTAGCGTGAAGGGTTTTCGTTTCGGGCTTGGCACTGAAGTTAACTCACATGGGGGAGGCAAGGGCGTGCACACAGGAGCTGTGGTTGTAACAGCTTTGCTCCACCACATTCCTGACTTGGCCAGTTAATAAGGGACACCTACTTCTCAACTACTTGTATCCCCTGAAGGAGGTGGAGCGCGAGGACCACTCTTGCTGAGACTCTCACTGGACTGTGACAATGCTGGGCTCCATTAATAGTGAGGATGGAAAAAAAAATAGTGAAGATGGACACTGCATCCAAAGACCGAGAGACAGACACCAACAGGACTGCCTTGGGCTTCATAAAGCAAGGGATGAAAAGGCATCATTCTGGAACCCTCAGCCTGGCCTTTTCCCCTTCCCCATGAGTGCTCCAATGTGCCTGGATGTGCAAGTCAGGTGGGCCATTCACTGCTAGTTCTCTTATTTCAAAGACAAGGAAGATGGAAACTCTATTGCTGGACTCATGTCTAAATTATTTTAGCCTCACACTTAATTAATTTCCAGCCAACAACTTGCAGCTCAAAGAGGCGGGAGGGCAGGAACCATTACTTCCAAGACAGCGGCAGAAGCTGCTGGGCTGTGAGAGTCAGCCGAGCCCCCAGTGACTTTGAAGTCCTGGTGGACTGAAGGATTTCAATCATCGTGTGAATGGAGAATCAGTCCTTGCTTTCTCGGGGGAGAAGGAAGAAAGATTCAGTAGTCTACACCTTCACTGGACCCTGGGAGATCCAGAACTGAATCACTGGAGTTGACCTAGGGACCAGCACTTGCCCTTCTCACCTCTGACCAGTCCCCCGATTTCCAATGAGGACAAGAGAACTCATTGCATCTCTGTACGACAACTTTCTCCTGATGTGTGCACTTGCTGTCATCCAGGACATCATTGCGGGTGTTGACACAAATAGCTCTTCTTCTCTGGGTACCACCATCACAGCTTTTAGAACACTATGAGCATAAAAAAAATACAATAGGGTATTTCTGAGTTTCTTATAAAATATGCTTAAAATCATGACTCTACTGTTTCTTTTAACCCTCAAGAAACAAATGCCCTACTATAGCCAATTCTAGTTTTTATTTGGGAGATTCTTTTACAATGCTCATTATTAGGTTTATACTGAAGTCAACATAATCTCACTGGCAAATTGAGACTAAAATTGGGATATAAAAATGGTTGGCTGATTAGCTTTACCATTAATATTTTTCTGGATGTCATATCTAAGTTAGATGTTGCAATTTAACCTTGGGATTCTTTCTTGCAGAGTTTGACTTGGCCAGGGATTATAAACCAAACACTGTTCTTTCTTCCATACAGCTTAAATGGGTTTCTTAACACAACCCCAGAGGGAGCCACCATCAACTCATTGGATTTAGTATCCAAGACTCTCTCACATCAAGAACCAACTTACTTCTGTCCAAGCTGAGTAGCGCCATCCACCTGTGTTACATTCTCCTGAGCATTTTTCCTGGTTGCTTGGTTTGGGTTGACTACTACAAAAACTGTCATCAACCTTCTCAGACTTCCCATCCAGCCTGCTGTATTTGGCACAGTGGATGTCTAAAGTGCGGTAACCCAAACCACACTGGGCATTGCATTCACTTTTGCTGGCAACATGCCACCTAAACAGAAATAATGGTGGAAAACCAACATTTGTGTTAAATACATGTGTCACATCCAACTAGTGGGAAAGTTTTTTTCTTTCTTAATTCAAATATGATGAAAGCTCAAAGCCAACGCCAGTTAAAAATCCAATTTCAAGCCAATGTATCCATGTATTTTTCATGGCTGCCAATGTACATGGAAGTCACAGAACCACAGCCAGAAACGCTATCTCTGTGAAGCATCTGCCAGGTACAGTCCATCTGAAACTCAAGCCGCAGGAAGAAAGAAAAAAATGGGACTCAGCAAAGCAAAAAGAAGCAATTTTTATATTTAAGAAGTCCAGGCAAGCATTTCACTTGGCTTCTTAGGCTCACTCTTGGAAAACTCAGTTGCAGGCTTCTCCTTTGCAGGTGTCTGTGCTTGCAAGTGCTCAGTTACTCTTCTGATAATAATGCAGGAATGAATAGCACAGACTGTCACTGAACATTTCAAGAGCACTATACATGGTGTAAATTATTATTATTATCTTGGAATAAAGACTAGGCTTCTTGGGTTTGACTACTAGCCCAGCTTCAGGATCAAGAAGAGAGCCTGTCTCAAAAGAATGAGGCAGAGAGTGATGGACTAGGATATGTGACCTCCTCTGGCTTCTGTGAAGCGGGCACATACCCTTGCACATGTGTGCATACACCATACACATGACTGGAAATTTCTTGAAGACAGTAGGCATTGTATGTGTGAGTGTGTGTGTTTGTATGTGTGTGCGCGCGCGCGCACCAGGTCTGGCCATCAGAGTACAACTTGTGAGAGTCAGTTCTCACCTTCTATCATGTGGGTTCCAGGGATCAAACACAGGTCATGAAGCTTGGGGCACGTGCCTTTACCCCGTAAACTGTCTCACTAGCTGTATCTTATTTTCTGAGAGGCTGTCTCACTGAGAGCTGGGACTCTTAGATTTTGCTAGGCTGGTTGGCCAAGAAACCCAGGGCTCCACTATCTCCCCAGCTTAGAGGTTACAAGGCCACACCATTGCACTCCACATTTTAAATGTGGGCTCTGGAGACAGAACTCAGGTCCCTCATTTTAAACTTTTAAGTCCATAAGAATTTGCCACCTTTGTGTCCCCGATATTCATAACAAAGCAACACAGGTGCACAATGTAAACTAATGCATACTCTTATTTTTATAATGCAACAGGAACAGAGTTCGCAGTGCTTGAATGTAAAACAAATTTCAAAAATGTTTAATTTGAATTTTCTGAGTCAGCGATCTTAAAATGTATTTGGAAATCTAGAAAAAGATAATTTCCCTTTAATCTCCAGGAGATTTTCCTCTCCACTGTCAGTTCCCTACATCTCAGCACTTGGGTGGTGTGCCGCTTTTCAACTTCCTAACAGTTCACACGTGCACACCTGTCAGGGGAGGAGCTGGGAAAAAAGAGGGGTACGAGCCAACACGCTTATCAAGGAATTTCTCGGTAATGTCCAAAAGTAGGTCAGAGTTGACCACTGGCAAACAAAGTGGGCTGTAATTTTCCATGACACTGAAGCAGCGTCAGGGAGATTGTGTCCTAACACGGTAAACGAGGGCTTATAAACTCACCCTTTATCTCATCCTGTCACGGGCCAGTTGGGCCAACTGTCACTTCCTACAGGAAGTGAGACGGAAAACACTCGAACTCAATTCAACACAGAGGCATCTGGAACTTCCAACTGCACTTTGATTTTTGGCTACCTTCTCATGGCCTCCATCACCGCTTCCCTGGGGGAAGGCTATTCACCATCTGGCAAAAGGAGGGAGGTGTCCTGACAAGAAGGTGCCCCTGCAGTTCAGGCTGCTAAAGTCACTTCCCTGATATCCCATAATCCCCAGGGGCCAAGCAGAGATCCCCGAATTATCTGTGAGAAGCTCATGGCACTATTTAAAAAAAGAAATCTCTAAATGATATCTAATTTGCTATATATTCTTTCTGGACAGGGATCTGTTCTTCAGCACAATGTACTCAGAGTTCATTTTATGGGAAATAAAAATACTAGTATCATATTTAACTATTATATTTCAGGAAAGTATTTTCTAGTCAGGCATGGTGGTGCATACGCGTATCTCATTACTCAGGAGGTGGGAGCTGGAGAACTGTGGACTTAAAGCCAGCTTGAGCTACATAGAGAGTTCCTGCCTCCGAAATCTAAGGACTGGGGTTATACTTCAATGGTAGAGCCCTTGCTAGTAGGCGGAAAGTACCGTGTTCAGCCACCAACACTGAAAAGGTAAGAAAAAAAACAAAAAAAAAAAAACAAAACAAAACAAAAAAAACCCGTGTTCCAATATGTTAATAAGTGAAAAATCAAGAAAAATAAGGTATGTCCGTAGGAGCAGAGATGGGGGGCTGGAGAATGAATGGTTTTGAGAGCTACCAGATAAATTGGGTTTCTACACTGTAGATCTTTGGAACTTCACAATGTTGATCAGCATCATGAACCTCCACACCAGCAGAGGAAGTTTTGGAGGGCTTCTCAAACCCAGAGGCTGGCTAAGGGCTGCTTCAGCAGACTAGTGATCCACAAACATGCTCTTGTGGAGCTTGACTAACCAGTAACCATTCCCTCTCCACTCTCTCAGGTGCACACACAGCTAACTGGCCACAACTTGGCCTAAGTTTTGATTAGACAGATCGTCAGATGGGCAAAGAGGACAGTGAGTCTTCCTTAGGTTTGGTTTGCCTCTCTGTATATTTTAGTAGGCACCTTTCGTTTTTCCAACAATCAGTAGAAGCCACCGACTGAAAACCCTGGTCTTTTACTGACTTTTAGGCACAAGCATACGCTTGCCTAGTTGTGTGGCTCTCAAGCTAATCCTGAATTCTTTCTGCCATTCACTCTTGACTTCCTCCCCACTCTGATCTGAAGGGATAAATCCCTTTGCCTTCTTATCTCCAATCAGAACGGCTTTTGTCATCCAGCCCTGTGCTTCCAGCTGCTGTCTGTCCTCACTTAACCTCTGCAGAGTTAAAAAAAAAAAAAAAAGTTTTTAAAAGTAGACTCCGAATGGGAGATTTAGAATAACACACTGACCTAGTTATTGATCAGATAAAAAAAAATCAGGCAGAAGCTTTATCTGGTATTATGGAAAGAATATAAATGAAAATCAGAGGATGTGCTATTTAATCAGCAGACATTGAGTGGCCATGGAAGCTTTCACACTTATTACCAGAGAAAGCCTGTGTCAACCACATCATCTCATCAAGCTGAAGCTTCCTGTAAGATGGAGGAAACAAAATCCATCCCTTATGGAGATTAAGTGGGACAAGGTGGACATACAACAGCTGTGGAAGATACTCAATAAAATAGCTATGATTATTATGACTATTGCTATCCATGGTGTTTTATTCTCCAAGCAACTTCTATTTTTGCCTCCTACCTTTAATTTTATGCAGTGCTGAAGATCAGACCCAGGGCCTTGCCCATGCTGCATCCTGGGCCTTTGGTTGTATGAGAAAGGGTCTCATTGTGTAGCTGAGGCTGGCCTCAAATTCTCCATCTTCCTGCTTTTGCTTCCCTAATGCTGGGATCACAGACATAAGCCCTGGTGCTGAGCTTTAGCTAACTTTTAAATATTGGCCAATGAGGAGGCAGCCCCCTTGCGATATTCTGTGCAACCTGACATAGCACTCTTGCGATTTGAGCTTACCTTGTCCTGCATAGGCTTTAAAGATCTGTGTGAACATGTTTACAGCTTCCCCTGCAGGAGAAACCAGCACCATTGCACCCCAAATTGTGGCTCATATTGAGGCTGTTCAAAGAGAAAAGTACTTGGCTCTTGGAGGAATAGTGCAAACATTAACTCCACTTTGAAAAGGACACTTGCTGGGTAAACTTGGAATAGGATTATTAAAATATCATTTGTTTGTTTTTACCGTCACATTCTATTTCTCGAAATGCTTTGTACAGACTTGTTTTCTTTGCCATCATAAAAGTAGGAGGCTTAGTGTTCTAGGCAGCAGCCCTACAGTATCTGCATGTATCATTCAGGATGTGACAAGCTCCAATCTGAGTCAGACAGCAGAGGAAAAAAAACACATGCATGGAGTCCCAGTGCAGAAGAACGGATGGAACAGGACAGACACTGGTAGAGATGAATTCTTCATGTGTGTGATCACAGAATGGGACACATGAGGATCATTCTACAGAATTAACAAAGTAAGAATGGAAAAAGTTTTCTTCTAGAGTTGGAGCATACAGGCCCTTCTGTTGAATGGACCACATTTAATCCTTTGCTGCTATGCTAACCAGTGTGATCTGGAGCAATTGGCATAGCAGCGCTCAGATTTAATATTTTTATATATAAAACAATGATAAAAATCTATGCTATAGTTGTAGTGGTTTGAATAAGAATGGTCCCCAAGGGCTTATCTATTTGAATGTCATCAGGGAACAGCACTATTTGAGGAGAATTAGAAAGTGTGGCCTTGTTGGAGGAAGTGTGTCTCTGGGGGTTCAAAACCTCATTCCAGCTTCCTCACCTAAGGAGCAGGATGCAGCTCTTAGCTACTTCTCCAGCACCATGCCTGCCTGCTACCATGCTCCCTGCTACGATAATGGACTAAGCCTCTGAAACTGTAAACAAGCTCCCACTTAAATGCTTTCTTTTATAAGAGTTACCTTGAAGGGAAGGGAATGGGAGGACAGGAGGGAGGGAAAACTGTAGTTGGGATGTGAAATAGATGAATAAATTTAATTTTAAAAAAGGAAAAAATAATAATAAAAAAAAGAAAGAAAAAAAAGAGTTGCCTTGGTCATGGTACCTCTTTATAGCTACGGCACAATGACTAAGTAATAGTAACTGAAAAATGAATAGACTATTATTTGTATTAAAGGATAATAAAAACCATTCTGTTAATGTGGGGATAATATATATAGCTGTTAAAAGTAGTTCTTAGCTTCGGGAGACCCTATCTTAAAATGTAAGGAGAAGGCGGGGCTTGGCTCAGTGGCCTAGCATGCACAATTCTCTAGGTTCAATCTCCAGTACTGTGAAAGCAACAATGTCAACAAACATGACAGCCAAAAGAAAAGCCAGACCTTAGAAAGGGCCTCCTCTACCATGATGCTTGCAGAATGGTAAGAGACGTAGTGATGGCTAGACTCCGTCTTCCCCAGCTTGTTAACTTTGCATCCCAAGGAAGATGTGCAAGAATCCAGTGTTTATTCAGCTTAACTGTTACTCGCATTACCCCCACCCCCACAAAGGTCTCCTTAACTATAACTTAACTAATTTAACTCAATTGACTGAAGCAAACAGGTTTATATGCGCACTACATAAAATAAAATAATGCCTAACGTTGACATTAATATCTACTTTTTAATGCCTTGCTTTTACAATGCCTTTTGTCTACACTTTTTGACAAGCCACTGAGCAACCCAGTCGGTAACAATAGCTTCAGAAAAAGTGTGGTCGGGTGGAAATAGCCCAGCGTGAAGTCAGAGCCTCAGGAGAAGATGAGAAGATCTATGACATACATGTCACCATTGCCCCCCTGACCCCTAGGACAGAACACTATTAATTGATCATGGCACTTTTTCTCTCAGACACACAAGAGGATCTTATAATCTGTACTCCTGCACCAGGTAGCTAACACTATGAAGATTCAACATGGTGATGTGATGTGGAACCTTCAAAATGCTTAATATTTGCACTCTGCTACTTGTGAATGGAGAGACCATATCACATTCCCGCACTATTCTATGCTAATGAATGAAGAGATCTTATCACATTCTATACCCTTCTATGCTAATGAAGGGAGAGACCTCAGCATATCCCCACAGTATTCTATGCTAACAATCTCTCTTCTGTAAATGGGCAAAGTAGACACTGACCTGGCATGCAGATTATACATTACAGCCTTCCAGTTGTTGGAAACTACATATGACACAGTCAACCTCTTAGGCAACAGGAACACTTTAGAGTTCTCCACCCCCTCCATATTTCTTCCATCAGATACCATACCTTTCCTAAACACAGAACTGCACTGTGTGACTACCTAGATAGTTGTATTTAGATTCTGTTTTCTTTCCCTCCATGCCTTTACCTTAATGCATAGCATCTTCTCTCTCTCTCTCTCTGTGTGTGTGTGTGTGTGTTTATGAGTTGTGTATGTGTATGATGTACGTGGACTGAAACTTTCGTGTACATAAGAACTGTGCATGGTGTCCACTCTGGATGGAAAGGGAGCACCATGAGGACTCTTACATTGAATATGAGTCAATGGTAGGGCCAATACCTAATCAATGAGTTGTGAGGATCGAGTGAGAATGTTTTCTGACAAGCTATGTTCTGTTAACTAGTTTTAATCCTGAGGAGAACAAGAAACCCAGTTATCGATCTGGGCTAAGTGGTTTCAGTACGGGCTGGAGCTTGTGTGAGGAAAACACTGGAAGGCTAGAAAAAGGCCAGCAACTCTTGTCTCTAATTCATCCCACACAGGAACTCCACTCAAGCCCGCTGGACTCCGGAAGAGAGATACAAGAAAAACAGAGGCCTCACCTCAAGTCGCAGTCTGTGCCGCACGCTTCAGTGACAGGTCCTGGCTGGGGCAGCCGGTCACATCTTTGATCAGAAACAGTGAGCTGATCAGACTCCCTGGTGCAAACCAGTTTTCGTCTCCGCTCCCCTAAGCAAAGAGGAGGAACATTATGCCGAGGAAATAACCTTTTCCGAATGAGATCAAGGACTTGCCTGAGTTTTCTATAAAAAGCTAGACAGTATTTTCAGTTTGGTTGGCCTTATGATCTCTGTCACACTTCTCAGTTCTACCAGGACAGGAAAAAAACCAGCTGCCCATAGGCAGTAGGTCAAAAAATTGGTGTATCCATGTTCTAATAAAACTTTATTAGTAAAAAGAGGGTAGTGGCTAAATTTGATCCTGTCGCTGTAGTTCGGTGACCCTAATTTAACAAAAGGAAACAAAACTAATATAAATTATGGCCAGAAAAGCCACATGATGGAAACTTAAAGTGGCAGTATTGATTCTGCATGGTTTCACATATATTTTCAAACTTCTTAGGAGAAAATGTAGCATGAACCTGACATGACCTGAATCTTAGTTCAATTTGACAACCAAAATAACCAGAAAGGTCCAAGTAAATGAGGTGAGAAGATGCAGGCAGGCAGAAAGGTTTGTAGGTTATATGTACATAGCTGTTTTTTTTTTGTTTTTGTTTTTATTAGTAAGCAAATAAAACACCCCCGCTCCCCTCCCACACACACATACCACCAAATCCTCAAACCCACAAAAGCGGAAACTCTTGAGCAGATAGATACCTTGGCAGGGCTTGCTACAGGCTTGCCACGGCCCATGACTGTTCCAGTAGAATTGTTGAGGTTTGTCCTCAATTGGAATATTGAAGGAGTACCGCACATCAGGGTTGTACAACTTCCCCACCGACAACACCTGTAACGCGTGGAGAAGTTGGAGAGAAGTCTGCCGGCCCGCCGTGCCAAGGGGAGAGAGCCGCCAGCCACTAGCCAAGTTTTTACCTGAAGGAGAAGCTCTTCCTCGATCCGGTCTGTGGCGTTCAGTCTTTCCACAGCATGATCAGATCCGCTGTACTCGATCATAGTATTCCCCACACGGACCTCCCTTTTGGACATTGAGACAACAAAGTCTCCATTTAGCAGGAACTCACCTTTACTGTTTGATAAAGCTGTAGATGAGAAAAGAGACTTAGGTGAGGTGCTGCCACTGGCCAGCTGTGCTGCAAAACAAAAACAAAAAATGTTCGATTTGGCAGGGATCAGCAGAAGACTGGGGGCTTTTCAGCCGGACCATGAGTTCACAGTCTTGGTTGGCCATGTGCTAGCTACATGACAGTGGATGACTAATCCTTCTTGGTCTCAATTTCTTTATCTCTAAAGGGACATAAAAACACCCATCCATTATGGTGCCTAGGTAAACTAAGAGAGATATAATATAAATGTCCTCTTCAGTCTGAAGTTACTTACACAATATCTATAGTTGCAGGATTAGAGACGAAGGCTGAAATCTTAAGATCTGACACACACATATGCTACCAGGGGTAGGGGACAGCAGTCCCAGAAGGAATATCTTACTTTTTAGAGGGTAGGGAGAAGCTACTGGGAAAATGAGAAGTTCCAGAATTTTTTGTTTGAAATGAGGTCTCCCTTTGTAGCCCGAGTTGGGCTAAACTCACTCTGTTTATCACTCTGGTTTCAAACTTGCAGCCTTCCTCCAGCCTCTACCTCCTGAGTGCTAGGATTCAAAGCAGGAGTCACCATGCCTGGCATAACCAGAAATTCCCTCTAAAATGGCTGCATTTCAGAGTTTGCCATTGAACGGAATCCTAAGAACACATTACTTTTCTGCCACATGATTCAGCTGGATAGCTTATGTGAAAATACCGGAAGATGGATCCCTTTACTTTCCATTGCAACAGCAGTGGCATGATTGGAACTAAAACATAATTTGGTTAGATATAAGATAGAAGAAATGTATTTTCACATTTTTAGATTAATTTTTTAAAGGCAAACATCTCAGTGAGGGGTAGCATAATGACTCAGTAGGTAAAGACACCTGCTGCCAAGCTTGATGAACTAGGTTCAATTCCCAGGACCCACATGAGTGGAGAGAACCCACTGCCTCAAGTTGTCCTCTGATCTCGATACACACATGCAGAGGCACATGCATGTCACTTCGATAAAATAAATAAAATGTTAAAAAACATGTGATTTTAAAATTTCAGTGACACCATTTCTCTTTAGCACGGACCACACACCTTTGGTCTCGTTTTAAGCCTGCCTTATAGACCTGGGTCCCGTTCCCACAGTCCAGCTGCTCCACTACTCAATTTGGAGTTTGCACTGTACTGCTTATCACACCTCAGTGAGGCCGGGCTGTTACACACGTTACACATCTGTACATGTGAATGTACGAATGAGAAAAGTATGAATTACAAATCACTAAATTAATTGACCAAGGCCAGACAGCTTCTAATCATGGGACTCTGCCTCCACAACTTGTGAGACACTAACATTGTCCAAGAAGAGAGTCAGCAAACATTTGTCCAGTAGACAAATCCCCTCATTCATTCATTCTCTCGTTTACAGATAGAACCAAGGTCTGCGTAGGCTACAGCTCTTTAACAACTTGGCCTGACTGTTAAACTGCATGAACCTTTCAGTACCATTAAGACCATTTCACAGTTCACCTCTATAAACCTCAAGATCCCAACCCTTAGTAGGCTAGTGAAAGCTGGCGTTAAAAGAATGAAGGAATGATTGAAGCCGACCCCCCCACCCCCGGAAAGGAGGATAGAACACTTCCACATGGATGATCATTCTCTGGCTGGTGTGAACCTCACCGTTAGCTCCTGCAGTGGAGGACCTGTCAGCCACGTTAGATATGGCAGTTTCAATGGGTAAAAGAATAAACGAGGTAGTTCCCTTGGCATCTCAGGCTGTTTCCAAAGCAGGTCACTTACACGTGATAGCGTGATGGGCTGTCAACACCACCACCCAGTTCTTTCAAGCTAAGTCACGCACTAGCCAGCCCAAAAGGGGGAATGAAATGCCACATGCCAGACTTATAAATTGAGCAGCAATCTGGTTTTGTTGAAAAGAACATGGTCTCTTCTGTGTGAATCCCCAGTCTCTTCCCGTGGCTTTAGGTTGCCTCTCATGCCTCTGCAGAACTGGGGGAAAGTCCCTCTTCACTGCATGTTTCTTATCCCACTTGTGAGGACAGTGAGACAAGAGCTCAAACGCTGTAAAACCCTTCTCCATGATTTGTCCCTACAAATGGTTTGCCCATAGAGTTCTGTAAAGATGTCAATGAAATGAAACTCTGGCTTTCTCTTATATTGCAAGGATGTGTGATTTCCCTCCACGAGCGTTAATTCAGGGCTAAGCATCCCAGAGGCAAGGAAGTCTCACAGACATGTTTACACTTTCTCCTGAAGAGGTAGGAACGTGGCAGAGACAGTACAACATGGTTTTAACCCGACAAGAGGGATCCCTGGGGAAGGTGACCTTTGACTGGCAGACTTTCTGCTTCAGTACCTCGGGAAACAAATCGTTTCCCCAAACCTAGAGATGCTTGCCCCACTTCCTGCTAATGAGATTAGGGAAGCTAATTTCCTGGGTTTCTGTCCCTCCTGTCACACCCATCAGAATGAGGTTGCTACAGAAGTTCCACTGGAAAAGTCTTCCTCTCCAAAACACACAGGAAGAGTGTTAGACTTGACCAATCTTTACACAGTTATCAGGGATAAGGATGAAGGTTGTTTAACAATAGAAGAGCAATGACTGGACTCAGCGAAATGCAGGGTGGTGGGCTGTAAAGTATCTAAAGTGCTCTGCTAATAGCACCTTGCTTCAAGCCAAGAGTATAAATATGCACACACCCCCACTGGGTGACGTCAGATCCTCCCTAACCTTGTAAAGAACCATTGTGAAGTTTGGGCTCTGAGGTCTGTTTTCATACTCGATGGGCTGTGATTTGCAATCAATGCTTGCACACTGCTCATTAGCTTTTGGATAGGCTGTTGTGGGGCAAGCAGTGACTTCCCCAGACTGCCCATCCCTGGATGAATCTTCTTTAATTTTGTTTTCATTCTTTCACAAGGGGATTAAGAAAAGTCCAGTAAAGAAGAGAAGATTGTCAGGAGACTCTGCCTGAGTTCAGACACCTGACATGTACTGATTAAGCTGAACAGAACCAAGGCCACTACCTGGATAGAGGCTATTTCCCCAGGGAAAATAGAAGAGAACCAACCCTTGCTTTTCCTTTGGAATGGAAGAACAGAATGATTCAACATGGCCTTTGGCTCCCAAGAAATTAATTTATAAGGGACACTTCATACCATGATACTTAATTAGGATGAACTCAGAGCCTACAAACTACTGCATGCTCAAATTTCTCACCAAGTATATGGAGAAAAATGCCTGACATACTTTGAGCAGTCACAGAATGAGAAATGGGGGATTCCCCAAAAGTATAACTTGAAGGTGGTTTCCAGAAGCCTGTTAATTATCTTATTTTAATCCGTGTGTGTGTGTGTGTGTGTGCGTGTGTGTGTGTGCGTGCGTGCGTGCGTGCGTGTGTGTGTGTGTGTGTGTGTGTGTGTGTGTTGATGAACCTAGGGCCCAGTAAAGGTTTAATTGTAAACACACGAATCATAATTGAGCTACAACTCAGTCCTGTTCATTTTCTTGTAAAGCTACCACTCAATTTAATACTTGGTGTTAAAAAGCAGATGCAGCTGTTTATAATTAATTACAAGTTAGGCTTTATAGTCTTCAGAAGAAGATGAGCCTTTATCTTCAAGAGAATTCTGTTTTCCATGAAGAACTAGCAATGGCTGTTCAGCAACCCAGCAAATGTTTACTCAGGCTTCTCATGTGCACATTGTAGCAGGAGCTAAACATGCAGGCAACAGCCCTGACCTTAAACTACTTGGATTGTATGGATGAATAAGTAACAAGTCTTATCTCTGTGGTGGCAACTGCCTCCTTCCCATTGCTTAGGTCCAAACCTGAGAATGTTTGACTCCTTTTGACTCTAAGACAGCTTTCATCATTGCCTACTCCCTCTTCTCCCCTCCCTTTCTCTCCCTTCGTCTCTTCCTTCCTTCGTTCCTTTCTTCCTTCTTTCCTTTTTTCCTACCTTTCTTCCTTCCTTCCTTTTGTGGGTCTCATGTAGCTCAGGCTAGCCTTAAACTCACTATGTATTTGAAGTGATCTTGAACTTCTGATCCTCCTGACCGTACCTCCCGAGTCCTGGGATTACAGGTACCTGCTGTCACGTTCTGTTCATGGGATACAAGGGACCGAATCCAAGGCTACCAGTCCTGGGTCCTTCTTTTTCCCTCCTATGGCACACCCAATCTATCAACAAATCAAGATAGCTCCAAATTCAAAAGAGAGACTGACCCTTATCACTGATCATCGCCGTCATGCTCCTCACTGAGGCCAAGCCATCAGCATTCCTCATTAGAGAACCTTTTCCTTAATCTTTATTTTTCCTTTTTAATTTTTGAGACAAAGTTTCGCTCTGTGGCCCAGAGTAATCTCAAATTCATCATCATCCTTCTTTAGTCTCCTTTGTGCTGGGTTAAGAGTTGGTACCACTACACTAAACTTCTCTTGGATTCTTGATATAACTTCCTAACCAGTATTGCTGTTCTACCAATGATGCTCAACATAATAGGCCAAGTGTTCTTTTGAAAATGTACATCATCATCAGCTCAAAACCAACAGCTTTCTGTGCCTCTCAGAACTTACAACCAAGTCCTTCGGATAGTCACATGGTTCAACATGATCTCATCCTAATACCATTTAGCCCTAAGAGTCTCCATTTGCATTCAGCAACAGGCACAGGGACCTCCTTCTGTTCTTCCCACAGTCCTACTTCAAAGACTTTGCAAAGAGGGGCTGGGAAGTGGTTTAATGAGTCAGAGCACAGGCTGCCCAAGCATTAAGGACCTGAATACAACCCCCCAGCACCCAAGTAAGAAGATGAGGGTGGCTATACAGGCTTCTAAGCCCAGGGCGACATGGTAAGCAGACACAGGAGGATCACTAAGGTTCCTTGCTGGCCCTCAGCCTAGCCGTGAATTCAGAGAGAGTCCTGATAAGAGCAATAAAAGTGATAGAGCAGGGTAGGTGATATGATCTTCTGTGTGTGGCCACACACATGTACCCTACCCCCACCTACACACACACACACACACACACACACACACACACACACACACACACGCACACACACACACAGACTTTAAAAAGACTCCCTCTTCCTAGAATGACTTTCTTTAATGGTCTGTCTCTATAAAGGTTTCAACTCCACCTTACCCTTGGAATCCACTCTCTGTGCTACATGAATTTCTAGTACCATCTAGCATCTTCTTCCAGAACAGACCATGTTGATTAAGTAACTGTTTATTGTCTTTCTTGCCCATGAAAAGAAGGCTTCAAGAAGACAGGGATTTGTGATTCTGGTCTGTTTGGTTTATTGCGTTGCAAGTAATGCTGGCATACAATAAACAAGTGAACGCAGGGAGACATGGTGACATGGCAGAAAATGCTTTAGCAGAGTCACACGTAAGTTAGCATGACTAGCGTGCCTGGCTATGAATGCATGAGTTCATGCAGACCTTTCAAAATACAGATGTAGCTTCTCATTTGATTCAACAGATATTCATTAACCGGCACAGCATGACCAAATGCTTGGATTAGACCTCTATAGGCTGCATTCTGATGGATAAATAGAATTCCTGCCAGCACATTAGAATGAAACAGTAAGTCGATTTCTTTTTTTAAACAATGACTACTCAGCAAGATGGCCTTGATTTCTTCTGGAGCCAAGTACCAGCTATGGCCAAACTTCGAGGCAGGAGCAGCCTAGTTGTACAAGGTGACCTGCCAATTCCCTTTCAGGCATTCCTCTCTTGCTTACATCCTTCCTTCACAGGGAAGTGGGCAAATTTCATAATCACTTAAGGTGATTTGAAGAACAATAAGTTGAAGTCAGTCTGGTTTGGAAGGCTGCTAAAAATCAATAGAGGTCTTTGGTGTGATGTAGTTTAAAAATGAGAAATATATATGAACTACTTATGTGGTTAAGTATAAGGAAAGATATAAAATAATTGCATGGTTAGATATAAAGAATAAATAGGAATTCATTTTAGAGGGAAAAATTGAAGAGCCTGCACTCTAGCAGAGTAGGCTGATTTTTGTAACAATGGCTTAAAAAATGCATGCCATTATAGACTCTTTTAGAAGGAAGAAATGGAGATACATACTAGGCATAATAAAATCTTGAATAGGCCTATGAGGAGTCTGCTCCTGGTTAGAGCTGATAACATAAAAATTAAGTCAAATAATGCCTCTAAGAAAACATTTGCAAGTCAGTTACCCAGACAGACGTTTTTAAAGTGCTCCATGAGACCCACGACTCGATGCTAAACTCAGAGAGTGTAAGATCTGGAGCAAATCCCTTGCTGCTGAACACGGTAATGATATAACCCTTGAGTCAATATTCTGAGGCGCTGTTCAGGAGAAGAAATAAGACAATGAATTTAAGATCATCTTCTTTGATAGAATGAAGCTTGTCACGTGCACCAGAGGAAGGAAGGAGTGAGTACCCGCTGCTCCAGGAAGAGACTCAGAATTCAGACTTCATGGAAATGTCAGGGACAAGGCTCTTACCTAAGTAGTTGTCATCCTCGGACTTCCCTGAGAAGCTGTGCTGCCGCACATCAAGGCTGGTAGCTCCAGCTGGAATTCGGACAACAGTATTGTAACCTGCCGAGAAGTTAGCAGAAAATCAGTATTCTGCTGAGCATTTCACAATCTCTAAGGACAGACTAAAAGTCAAACAACAAAGAAAGACAACTACTACTACCAGATGTCTTATAGCCAGATTAATAATATACTATAGCAAGGCTGATTTTACCCTTCACATTAATACTTCCTGTATTCCATGAAGTCAACAATTTATTTTTAAACCTTTTCTTCCCCCCTGGTTCTTAGGAGCAGATTCTTACCATAATGGACTGTGTTAAATGTTCCTGCCACTGTTTTGCATGAAGAATTATCACCACCACAAATCCCACATTTATCTCTCCGGGCTTTTGAGTTTAAAATATGATCACATCCAGCTTGCTTTTTAAAAGAAAACAATTGAAATAAGTGGTAAGTATTAAGGAGATAATAAAATGGCAAGTCGTGCATTCCTTTCAGTGATGTGAATCCAAAAAACGACAAGGAAGCTGTGCCCTTTAAAACTTGCAAAGGTTGAGAACACCAATTGTCCACAGTTTGCCATTTAAGATGTGGTCATTGGACTCACAGGGACCTAGCATCCTTGATGCTGTTTGGCATACTGAAGCTCTAGAGCCACCCAACCCTACCGAATCAGAACTGGCATTTTAACCAGTTGCCCAGGTGCTTCATGCACAGATTAACATTTGAGATGTAATGGTCTATGAACAAACAGAGTCAATGAGTAAACCTGCCTAGTCATGGAAACTAAAGGAGAATGGTGACGCTGGGGCCACACCAGAGAGCTCCTGCACATCCTAAGGGACAAGCTGCTTGTCACTCCGGGCTACTGCTGATGTTTAGAACCACAAGTCCAGTGCTGCAATGTTCCGATTTATCAGGAGAAATTGGGAGCTTGTTTTGTTGTGCAATGCTCCCCCCGCCCCATAATTTGTTTACTTAGCAAAGCAATGAAGAGGGAGGGCCCTGACCAATCCAGGGAGGACCCTGGCAACCGCCAAGCCTGCAGGAGAAGAGCGTCCCACTCTTCTGCCCTTTAGTGCACACCGTTCTTTGAGAAGCTCAATGCATTGAGACTGAGTGCAATGACAAGAGAGTCCATACCGTCAGGTCAGTACAAGCTGAGAGGTAGGTAAACCTCCTAGGTACTCCCTCTTTTTTAAATAGTTATTTCATTTCATGTATGTAAAAGTTTTGCCTGCATATGTATGAGAACTACTGTGGTGGGTAGCCATTTCAGCTTTGACCTGGAAGTTCCAACCCTCATTGAGGCTTTGGTAATGGTCACGCCTACCCGTCGGGGTTGAGAGAGGATGCTGAAGACCCGAGATCTGGATGCGCTCGGGCTCTCTTGGTTCCTGGACCCTGGATGCTGAAGGTAGACTGAGCCAGAGTCCAGAGAACACCGCCGGACTGCACCTTTCCCAGACCCTGTAGCCTAGCCCTTCACTTGTAAGTTAACCCACAAAATAAACCTCCCTTTTAACTATGTGGAGTGGTCTTAATAATTTCACCAATATCCTACATCCATGCCTAAGGTCAGAAGATGACTTTAGATCCTTCTGGAACTGGATTTAGAAATAGTCGTCAAGTGCCTTGCAGGTGCTGGGGACCCAACTCAAGTCCTCTGCAAGAGTAGCTAGTGTTCTTAACCATGGAACAATCTCTGTAGCCCCTTAGGTGATGCTTCAATCAAACCCGATCCACTAGTAATTCTAGTTGGCCTTTGGGCCACATATAGTGAACACATTCATCAGCTTAGAGCTTGGCCAAGCTAGCAATGATTTCTAACTCGTGAAAACAAAGAAAAAGTATTAAGGGCTTGAGACGTCACTGTCAGATTCTTTGCACATTGCCAGGAGTTTCTCAGCTTACTTTCCAACACTAATGGGCAGGAGTGTTTTGGGCGAGGCATTGTAGTTAAAATGACAAAGAGACATCCGAGGGAGGCTGGCTTTTCCTCCTTCTGTTGTTCTGGAATCCAGCAATTCAACCTAGAAATATTTCTGTTAGGAAGCTCTTGGTTTTGACCTTAAGCACTCAGTTACAGTAATAGTATGTGTGTGTGTGTGTGTGTGTGTGTGTGTGTGTGTGTGTGTGTGTGTGTGCGCGCGCGCAAACTGGTACAATAAACATTCAAGGAGAACTTTTGCATAGATCTCCATAGAGACTAAAACATGAAGAAAAACCTAGAATAGTGTTTCTCAAACTTTGTTATAACATGCATCAGAATCATTTGATGACAATAGATGCTAACAGTATCCAGGGACCACACTTTGAGAAACATTGCCTAGGAGCCAGTGCCCAGATAGAAGTAGCTGTCATTCTATTAAGGAAGTCACAAATCAATTAGGTAACAGGACAGCTCAATGAAGAAAACATGACGTGGACTTACCCTGCAAAGGCCTTGGACACAGATATCATTTGTGTCCTGGCCACAAGGTGTTCCATCGATCACTCTGTCTCGGAGCTGGTAGTAGGCTGTGTTTCCTGCCACTCTGCAGAACAACTTACATCGGTCCTTCATCAAAACTAGAGAGGAAGATCATGATGCTATGTGACTTCCATGTCTGGACTGAGCTCCAGCCTGGCAGCCACACGCTCCAGCCCCACTGCACTTACTTCCACTGTACTTGGGGACCCAGCGCACGCTGGGCAGCAGACCATTGATGTTAAAGTGCTTGCCATCAAAGTGAGCACACTGCTCTTCACGGAAATCGCGCTTCTGCTTCAGGCAAGGCTCGGTGTTGCAGGATTTGAACTTCATTCTCCTCCCCACACAGTACTTCCCACCATTTTTTGGTCTGAAAAAAAAAATGGAGACAACAGATGCAATGTATTAGAACCTATCCCTCTACTCCTTATTCCTTCACTTATGACTGGTCTTCAGGAAGCAACTTTGAAATAACACATGACCAAGGGAGAAGGACATGGCTCCACATTCCAGGTTTGCATTCTGCCTCCCATCACCTCCTCCCATCAACTCTTCCCGTTACCTCCTCCAATCAACTCCTCTAGGTCCGGCTTTGCTTTCTGCCTTTGATTCCAGTAAGTGTCAACTTAAGTAAAGCAGTCAAACTTCGCCTCAGCACTTACAACTATGAAATGGGACATGCCTATGTTACATCTGGATTTTGTTGTTTTTTTCTTTGAGACTAGCTCATATATGCCAGGCTGTCCTACAACTCCCTACGGAGTTGAGGATGACCATGAACTCCTAATCTTCCTGCCTCTAGCTCCAGAGAGCTGGGGTTATAGGCATGCATCACCATACCTAGTTTTTGCAAACCTGCTTTGAAGATAACGTGTCAGCTATCAAACAGAAAGCCTGAACATGTGAAGCTGATCTTTGTCCCCTTTTCCCAAATGACTGCAGCCCTTCAACTTTAACAGTTTTGTAAGGGAAGGTGTAAGGTTGTTTTCTGTCTGTCCTCTACACCTTGACCTCCTCACAGGAGACCACAGGAACACACTCCCTTCCACTGCCTCTCATTCGGTCCTCCCCCATCTTCTTTCCACAGCCAGTCTTTTGATTTGGTTTATAAAATAGAACTACACACACGGCATATGTCCACACTTCGACCCACGTCATAGGAGGGGAAAGCACGCTGGGTTCCTATCACTGTCGCTCAAGTACGGTGCACTCTGGCAAAGCACCATGGTGCAAATTCATTCTCAGTGTGAAACTCTGCACATGTCTTTTCCAGATGTTACTCAGAGCATAAATTACACAACATATCCCCCAGCTATCAGCAGCTGGCCGAATTCATCACAGGGGTAGGGAAGGCCTCAGAACTCAGCCACAAACACCCGAACAGCTCAGAATACACAACTGTCTCAGAACACCATAGAACTCCAAGAGAAAGTTCACAATTGTTCTCTTTTAGTGAATTTTTTCAGAATAATCTTAAGTGTAAGAAATGAATTTTGTTTTGTTTTTCAAGCAGAGGTTTTAGGTGCTGGGAGACACATCAATCATGACCATAATGGAGTTGGGGGAAGGCTGTAGGTGGTACAGTTGGTTCTGGCTTCCAATCTTGCTGTCCTTACTGTACCCTGCTCCAGTTTCCTCCTTTTTAAAAAATGAGTACCTATAGCTGGGTACAGTGACACATGTCTTTAATCCCAGCATTCTGCATATCAATCTCAGTCTGTGACTTTGTTTTTTGGGAAAAGGCAGATTATAATTTCCTCCTTAACTCTGCATATGGCTTTAATGAATGTAAATGTGCCCTTTTGAACTACACATCTCCTAGACAATGTGGTTTCTATCTGATTTGTGTGTATCATATAATACAGAAATCAATAGCTATAAACCTTTTAGAATAGAAAAAATAATCTCATAATTAAAAAATTTGTTTGGATATGACTATTTTTTCCATATAGGCAAATACTGAAACTATAGGAAATTCAACTTTGAAAATACCATTAGCTGCATCTCCCAACTAAAAAGATTTTTTTAAGGATACTTTGTGCCAAATAGGAGTAGAAAGAACTTCAGGAAGTTGGGAGATTAATTATCACTTTGTACAGCCAGCTTAGGTCATTCCTTCAAGTACATGTTACACAATCCAGCCGATTAAACTTGTGAGCATACACCCTCAAGGTTACAAAGGAATTTTTACAAACACCATCACAGGTGCACTCTACTCTTAGAGACAGATGAATTTTTGACTACAAATTGGCTGGAGCAGATATATCAGCTCCTTTGTTTATTTACATGAACTAGTACAATCAGATTTGGGTTAGTCCAAAAAATTCTCTCCTGAAATGATGAAGGTAGGCTGGTTCTATGCTTCCAGGCTGTCAGAAGAGGCGGATAGCTCAATGGGGAGAATTCCTTCTCAAGAGTTAGATAAGACAAGAGGGAGTTTTATTAATCTACCTTTAATGATCTTTTCTAATGGGGCACACTAGGGGACTGATGTCTGTCTATATTGCTTCATTAGTTAATGGCTCTTCCATAGTAACCAGTTCTTAACATTTTGAAAATAGCTCACCTAGTCAGTGCTTCCAAAAACTGGGAGGTGACAATTACTAGACTTGATGGGTAAAGGTTCTTGCCACCACGTGTGACAAGCTGAAGTGGATCCCTAGTGTAAGGAAAGAACAGACTCCCACAGGTTACTCTTGGACCTCCACATGTGTGCTGTGGCACACATGTGCACGAGCATGTACAAAGGATTAAACATGTAAAAATATTTAAATATTTTTGTTGTCTCTGTACTGACAAAAATAACATACAGAATTTTTTAAAAAAATGAAACAGATATGTCCTGACTTTTTTGTTGTTGTTGTTGTTGGTTTTTTCGAGACAGGGTTTCTCTGTAGTTTTGTGCCTTTCCTGGAACTCACTTTGTAGACCAGGCTGGCCTCGAACTCACAGAGATCCTCCTGCCTCTGCCTCCCGAGTGCTGGGATTAAAGGCGTGTGCCACCATCGCCCGGCTGTCCTGACTTTTTAAAGTAAGATTTTATACACAGTTGCTATGGTAAGAGCCTGAGTGGGAAATATCTAGTTCACAATTTTTATTTTTCCAAATTGACAAATTCATTATCTTGAAATTTAACCTATTTCTTAATTTAAAAACAGAATAGAATCGCTAAGGAAGGAAACGTGTCCGTGCCAATTTAAAGCAATAGGTTCACAATAAGACTGATTCAGATAAAATAGTTTCCAATATATGTAAAAATGTACATAGGCTTCAAAAAGAGATTAAAAAAATATATACAGTTATATAAACAAATAGCTTTTAAAAGTAAAGTCTTTAAAAAAACAATAAAGGTAATAAGCCACGTAAAGATGGCTATCACACAGAAAATCTAGATTATGTTGTCTTTGATATTCGTAACTAAAAAAAACCATTTGATTGTAAAAGCTGTTCAATTATGCCAAAATATAAATTTTAAAGGTACCTTAACTTCAAAATTTGGATATAAAGATATGTTACTTTGAAAAAGAGGTTCTACTTTTGTTTCTACAAAAAGCCAAAGGCTATAGATTTGTTCCAAATTAAGATACATCAGGTTTGACCAGCCAAGACCCCCTAAAAGGTCTCCAATGACACCATGGCCCAGATGATCCAACATCCGGAACGGTTTCAGGCAACTGGCTCAGATGATACACCCTCATGGACTACTCCATAATCCTAAAAGATTCTTTATGTCCCCATAAGATACAGCGCCCCCCTCCAACAAAAAGTAATAAAAAAAAGCTACGCCCAAATTCCCAAATATACCAAGCTAACTTTAAAGATATATAAAGGTTAAAACCTTCCTTTTTAAAAAAAGAAAAGAAAAAGTGCTGTGGGATGGTCTGTATGTCAAATGTGTTGCTGATTAGTCAATAAATAAATCACTGATTGGCCAGTGGCCAGGCAGGAAGTATAGGTGGGGCTAACAGAGAGGAGCACTAAGAGAACAGGAAGCTGGGAGAGGGAGACACTGCCAGCCGCCATGATGAGAAACAGCATATGAAGATGCCGGTAAGCCACGAGCCATGTGGCAAGGTATAGATGAATAGAAATGGATTAATTTAAGCTGTAAGAACAGTTAGCAAGAAGCCTGCCACGGCCATACAGTTTGTAAGCAATATAAGTCTCTGTGTTTACTTGGTTGGGTCTGAGCGGCTGCGGGACTGGCGGGTGAGAGAGATTTGTCCTGACTGTGGGCCAGGCAGGAAAACTCTAGCTACATGTCTGCCTTTCTTAGCTAGGTCTTTGCTCTGGTTTGTTTCTCTTTCCTATTTTGAAGACTGAACTGGTTCTAGAGGTTCCTGTTTCTGCCATCAGGCATCTCAAAGCCAAATTTGCAAACAAAATAGCAAGAGTAGGACCCACAGGCCTGATGACACTGCTTCTTGCCCCAGTTAGTGCTTGATGCGCCAACTTATACTTGAGGTGGTCCTCATTTCTTTCTTTCTTTTTTTCTTTTTGTTTGAGACAGGGTTTCTCTGTGTAGTTTTGGTGCCTGTCCTGGATCTCACTTTGTAGACCAGGCTGGCCTCGAACTCACAGAGATCCGCCTAGCTCTGCCTCCCGAGTGCTGGGATTAAAGGTGTGTGCCACCACCGCCCGGCTGGTCCTCATTTCTTATGCAATGCACTTGCAATGAACATGCTATCCCAAACTCTAGGATGAAATGAGATATGCCCGATCGTTAAGAGCAGCCAATGCAAAAGTATCAATTGTGTGACAGATTTATCAATTGTCGGACAAATTTAAGGAATAGCAGCAGATCTGGAAAGAAAAGGAATACTGTGGAATTCAGGTGGTTGGGGTACCCTGGGTCTCACAGCCCTGGAAGGCCACTGCTCCCTCTTCCTCAGTCCCCAGCTGAAGAATTCCTTTTGAGTAGCTTCCACCCTGCTGCATCAGTGACAGCAATGATAGACTTCGGGACTTACTCTGGTCGGTTGCACTCTCTGATGGCGGTTTTGATGCCTCCTCCGCATGTTCTGGAGCACGTTCCAAAGTGACTCCAACTTCCCCAGGATCCATCAGTCGCAGGGGCCTCCATCTCTTTGGGAACACAAAATCCAAACTTGCAGTGCTGTATTTAATAAGGAGAGCAGTGAGGGAGAGCTTGGTGCTGTGAGTCATCTTAGGACCAGCTGGCTGCAGAAGTTCATCACATTTTTAAGTTTTCCCCCCTGTGCTGGTTTGGAACACTGCAAATTTGCTATTTCTATGAATAATGGATACTGCAGGCATTTTAATATCATGCTCATTGATTTTAGGCGGTGTTTGCATTTACTGCTTGCTCTGATAAACACAGGCCAGTGAGTGGCTGGCTCCACACTAAATGGGTAGCCCTAATGGCCAGCTTTAAACTGCTCAATTAGTCTGTGTACTTGGAAAAATGAGGAGTGGAAATGGGGCATGGACTGCAGATGGGGGCCAAAATGAATTAGAGAATTTGCAGTGTGAATCTCTATTAGCAAGGCTTTAAGACTCTACAATCTTGCTAAAATCGAAGGTTTTATTAATACCCTTGACTTCAAAACCCCAATTTTGATTAAACTGGGGAGGGGGAGTTAGCTACTTAATTCTTATAAACCCACTCCCAATCACTTAGGATCAGACTAAAGGAAAAGGGACAGATCACAGAGTCCTACACTTCGTTATAGTATTTTTTTTTTCTGATAGTTTCAGACTCTATACTCTGGATCATAATATTATTATTATTATGATAACAATAAAATGCAACAAAACTCCCCAGCAAGACAGGGAGTGGATGAGCTTATTTCAACTTTCTGCTATTGTGTGTGTGTGACCTAAAGCCCAGGCAACTGGTCAGGGGACAAAAAGAGTGGCAGTGGCCACAGCCACAGGAGGGTGATCCCTGTGGCTCCCTCAGATCTCCGAAGAGGAGCAGTAAAGCTGGGCTGTTGTGAAGTCTCTGTGGGGCAGCAGGAGCGAGGTGAGGAGTGGAGGGTGGAGGAGGCCAGGATGGTGTACAGAGGCAAGTAAGAGACAGGTTAAGGACACAGAGGGAAGGTTCATCCCTCCCAGGAGAGAAAGGCTTGGTGGGGAATGGAAGAGTAATGTCTTGTGCTGTCCTGGACTCTTGCTCTGTAGCCATCTTCTCACAACATCTGAGGAAGTTATAATGGGTGCTGGGAACCTGACTCAGGTCTTTGCCAAGAACAGTATGTGCTCTGTACCACTGAGCCATTTCTCTCACCCTGTGGTGATTTTTTCCTTCTGTTTTTTTTTTTTTTTTTGAAGACAAAGTCTCACTTACACAGTCTGTACTTGCCTAGAACTTTCTATGTGGATCAGGCTGCTCTTGAATTCACAGAGGTCCATTTGCCTCTGCCTCCTGACTTCTAGTCTTAAGGTATTCACTACCACAACCAGACTAAAATTTTTGATCCTCTTTTTTTCCCCATACTTTGTTTTCAGATCCTACTCTGCACATAAGTAACATCATAGACGATAGTGACCTTTCAAACGCTCAAGAGGCCACATATGGTTGGTAGCTGTCCTAGGTTGCATAGGAAAGCAGGTTGAGCAAGCTATGAGGAGGCAAGTCAATAGGCAGCACTACTCCACAGTCTCTGCTTCAATTCCTGCCTCCAATTCCCTGCCTTGCTTGAGTTCCTTTCTTGGCTTCCTCCCTCAGTGAAGGAATGTGATCTGATCCTATAAGCCAAATAAACCAACCCTCCTCACCCCAAGTTACTTTTGTCATGGCGCTTTATCACAACAAGCATTAAATGGCTAGTGGATTGGGTTGAAATTAGGTCAGTCTTTTGGTGTATGCATGTGCACACACACACACACACACACACACACACACACACACATGCTAGTATATGTCTCTTCATATGTGTCTGTGTGAGTATGGAGTGTTATGTATATCTGCCCGTGTGCGCATGTACAGAGGCCAGAAGAAGAAGAAGCGGGGTGTTATCTTGGATCACTCCAATAAAGTGGCTCTTCATTTGAGACAGTGTCTCTCATTCAACCTGGGGCTAGGCTGACTTCCAGCAAGCCCTGGTGATCCTCCTCTCTCTTCCTACCAACCATAATGCTGGGGTTACAGGCCTGTGCGTGGCCGTACATAGCTGTTTACACGGGCACTAGAAATTGACCTCAGGCTCTCATGCTCGCATAGCAAGCGCTCTCACGCACTGAGTCATCTCTTGCCCCAGCCTTTCTTAAAAGAGTCCAAAACCATTCCTATGATATTTTTCATACACACACCTTTCTAAGAGGTCAGAAAGGGGATGTGGAGGTCAAGTTTGTTTTAAAGACTCTTGAAACAAGAGAGTTCTGAACTTCAGGATCATAAACAGGTTTAAAATAAAAATGTTCATGGGCTTAACAAGATAATGGAGAATATAAGGAGACCTTAGCGAGCCATTCATCAAAATAACATTGTGTTAGAAATCTAGCTCAAAATAGATTACTGTGGATTGAGTGGAGCAGAAAGAAGGGAAAGGGGAAAAAAGGCCCTGGGTCAAGGAGAGTGAGATTGAGCTGGCAAATGGAGAAAAGGAATACACTGTCAAAACTGAACAATCAACATGAAACAAAAGAACAAAATAATCAACTTCTATGGCAACATAAACATTTCCTTTGGTCTGAACAATATGAAGAATGTGTGTGTGTGTGTGTGTGTGTGTGTGTGTGTGTGTGTGTGTGTGTGTCCCTGTATCTAGATCTATCTTTAGTAAGAGCCATTAGACCTTGCCAAGGTTCTAAAGCACAATTAAGAATACAACTTATCTTCTCTGCACAGCTATTTTTCTAAAATTGGTCAACAGGGATCTACACATATTCTGTAGAAGGCTTGAACTCCATGCTCTAGCTGAATTCATTAAGCATTGAAGACAGGGTCTCCTGAAAGGTTGCCTAAGACTTCTCCCCATCAGAAGCTATTGTCTCCCGATTGTCTGCAAAAGTAGAAGTTGAGAAGCAGACACAGCAGCCTCCTTCAAGTCTTTCTGTGGTCCAGAATTGGTGAGAAACCCTGCAACTGCATGGAGCTCAGGAGTCCTTTCGTGACGGTTTCACTAAATACACGCCACTTCACCATATTCTTGGGAATGCTCCTGTATTGTGGTTTTCCCAGCAGTAACAAGTGTCAGAAACAGACATAAGAGTAGGTGGATCACACAGATGAAGAACCATAATATAATGCCAGTGATTTTGCTGAGATCAGTCAATCTGAGTGTGACCGTTGGCTCAACTAACCAAGTTGTCAAGCAGAAGTCATGCTTACTGTTAGCTACTGGTAGCAGCCTCTGGGTTACCACGTTTAGAAGGACTCAGAAATTCCATCTTGACTGTGTAAGACTGAGGATCATTTTCAATGTTTAATGACTGCTGTGTAAACCTACATTCCCACAAAAACCTGTGGCCCTGCACCCACTGACACACTAAGGTTTTGTTGTTGTTGTTGTTTTTATGTGTATACCAGTGTTTTGTCTGCATATGTCTGGACACTGCACACATATGAGTTACAGACAGTTGTGAGCCACCGTGTGGGTGCTGGGAATTGAACCTGGGTCCTCTGGAAGAGCAGTCAGTGCTCTCAACTACTAAGCCATCTCTCCACCCTGACACACTAAGTTTAATGCTCCATGACAAATTCAAACTTCAGTTTTTGAACAAAGACACCTACCGTTCTTTTAAGATAATGAAAGTTCCAGAAGCTATTAGGTCTATTGTTTCTTTTGAGGCTATCACTAGGGAAAGCTAAACTTGGATTACAGCTTTGGAAAAGCCCAGCAGAAGTGGAGGGATGAGCTGACTTTGTCATCAACTCGATACAAAATCATCTTCAAAAATAAAACTTAACCAAATAATTTCCACACCCTCTATTTCCTTTAATCATTGAGATATAGGTGATGAAAATGGAGTCCTCATGTTTAACCATTGGAAAATAAAGTCACTCAGAGAGCTGAGTTCCAGGTCTATCAAGCAACCCACTGTCTCTCAGAAGCAAGAGGCAGAACTATGGTGAGGAGGGTCCACCCTGGAAGGGTTTGGGGCAGTTCTTCCCTAAATGATTTGACTGATCTTAGGATAAGAAACTTTTTTTTTCAGTTCTCTGTGTATAAAATCAGGTAAGGGAGAATAAAGCTATTGATTTTTTAGTGATTCTTCCAAGGAAACATCCTGGATATTATTAGATCTACAAGGTAAAGTAGAGGCACAATAAATCAGATGTTCAAAGGAAGTACAAAACAAAACAAAAAAACAAAAAATGGGAATAGAGAGAAAAAAGTCAAGAAACGATAAGAATGCCAGAGTTTTGGAAGTAGTGCCCACAGGTTGCATCCCTGGTGAGTGACACAAGCCATGTGGACCTAGAGCTAAAATTTCCTTCAGTGAATGGTTGGGTGCGATGATGGAAATGACATGACGAGCCCACGGCCACTGTTTGGAGGTGCACACCAGGTACAGAAGGTTAGATTAATCATACTCCTAATAGCGTGGGACTCGGTTATCACTGGCCCACACAAACAGTGAGTTTTGTTTAGTTATTAACGAATTGGTGAGAATCATTAAAACCAAAACCAGCTCATGAGAATCTGGGTTTAGATATGTCCCAGGTAACATCAGGGCACTATATAAAAGAAAACATACTTGGTAAGACAACAGTGAAGGCATCAGGCTTGCAGTGTTTGGGCATTTCTTCGATTCTAATATGCTTGATCATAATAGCTTTCCAGTGCCACTCTCAGAAGGGAAAAAAAAATATCACCACACACTAAGTGGTTTATCTATTAAAATTAACTTCCAGAGTTCTCAATTGTAAGCCATACTTTCATCCTCAAAAGAATCTGTATGCTGAACCACACTGTAATATATTATGTGCCACACACGGCACCAAATCCACCCAAGTCAGGAGCCTTTCTGTCCCAGGAGGAGAGACACCACCCCCTGTTACTTGCCTTTCCAGGCTCACACTCGGTTCCGTCAGCCCAGGGCGTGTGCTGAGTCCTGCAGCCTTTGTGTGCTCCATCCACATTATTGCACCAGAGTCGTCTACATTGCATCTGTTCCATTGAGGGGAAGACAAGACACAGTGTGAGCACACAAGGCAAGAGTTCCTTTTAACTCACGCTTTGCCAGGCGTAAAAGTTGGCTTGCAAAAGGATGTTTTTTTCTTGGTATGACATATTCATCATTATAAACTATTCCAAAGTGCAGCCACCTAAGACACATTTCTGTTCTGGTGAGAGATATAGTTCTGTAAAAGGGGGATGGCCTGAAGGAGCCTCTGAGTCATACATGGCATCACAGGGTCCTTTGTCTGCACCCTCCTCCCATGTTAATGATGAGGAAACTGAGGTCCAGTGGGATGAGGGATCATTCTCAGAACTACACTAGAGTTCTGAAAATGCATGTGACTTGAATTTTGCTTTGTCTTAGCGCCAAAATTAGTGTGTTTATGTATATGCATGCGTACCTGTGTATGTGCATGTGCGTTTGTATGGACATGTGCATGTGTGTGTATAATACCATGATCATGTAAGGAGCCATTTTTAAGATCTAATGCTTGTAGGAGGAAATACAGAAAAAACTCAATAAAATATATTTCACACTTCTAAAAAAGTATAGTGGGTAGTTATGTTCTCATCGTTACCAAGCTAAGGAAAAGAAAAATTCGAAAGCAAGCTAAGGCCTTGTATACTCATCCTGCATCCCTCTCCTGCTCCTTTTACCCCAGAGGTAACCCTGTCTTCAGCAGTGCTCATGTCTTCAGGGTTCTCTATGCTTCTGCGCAGATGCTTAAAATCCCACCAGGGATACACAGCACTGAAGCTTCCTATCAACAGGAGCACACAACACACCTTGCAGCTTCCTTCCTTCCTCCCTCTACCGAGCTCTTCTCTGGAGACTTATCCCCATGGACGGATGGATGGAAGTATTTCCAGGTAGATTCTTCAATGCATGTGTGTGCACAAACGTGTGCATTGGGGTATGTTCAGGTGTGCTCGCACATGTGTGTGTGGAAGCCAGAGGACAGCCCCAGTGTCATCTTCAGGGACACCATCTACATTCTTTGAGACAGGCTCTCTCGTTGTCATGGAGCTTACCAGTTAGGCTAGACTGGCTGGCCAGTGAGACCCTGTTTTTTCCTGTCTCTGCCTCCATGGTAGCAAGCCAGGGCTACCACACAGCATCTTCACATGGGTTCTGAGGACTAACCTCAGGGCTTCCTGCTCTCAAGGGAAGTGTTCCATCAACTGATCCAAACCTCCAGTCCTTCCAGGTATACTTTTAAAAAATGATTCTAAATTTTAATTTTCTCCTAATTATTTAAAAAATACTTACAGGAGAAAAGTTAATAGTTACCAGAAATTCATTTTTAGAAACAGAAAAAGAAGCCTCCAACCACCTGTTTTTGGGGTACTTTCCTTCCTCCTTTTGATGTTAAAGACGTATGCTATCAAACTGTTTATTATGGAATATATTCTATAGTATCTAACATTTTCACTGCTATGTAATAGTTCACTGAAAGAAGACACTAAAATGTGCTTGGTCTTTCTCCCATTGGCCTTCCCCCACCCAATGATGTTTTGAGACAGAAATACATGGTTCATGCTAGACTCAGGATACCTCTCTATCATCCTGCCTCAGACTCCTGAGTGCGAGGATTATAGGCCCTACCATATTCAATGGCTTAATTTTTGTATGAGTGACAGAGAAGTGAGCATTATTTTGGATGGAGTTATTTGAATTTTTTACATCATTTCTGTGGATTCCCTATATTTCCCAATCCACCAACCATTGCCAGAATATCACTCTTCAGCAAAACAAACATACATTTCCCAAAGCCACAACCTGAGGCATCCCACGAAAGCCTAAGTCTGCTTACCTACAGAGATCCTTGACTCATACATTAAAATGCCACTCAACCACCCAGTCAGCCAATTAGCCAGCCAGCCAGCCAGCTAGATGATGACCAGAAGTGAACTGAAGACCAGCTGGTCACAGAACACAACCTAACAAGTTAACGCAGGGAGCCAGAGTTGGCTTATGAAATCCTTGTACCGGATCTGGAAGCGTCCCTGTAATTCAGGTCACTTTTACCAGCTAAAGGGCATAAAAGGAGAACAGTGAGCTGGCCTCCACAATCTTGGGCTTACTTTCTGACTTTCTGTGAGTGACAATGACAGCTCCCCTTTGTGCTGTCGCTGATTTTCTGCCAAGTGACAATGGCATCTCCTCTTTGTGCTATCAGGAGAGCGCCGTGAGAAAACTCAGGCTGAACGCTGCGCTACTGAGCCCACCACGGCCTCATAATCCCATCACAGGCACTACCACTGTTCACATTCTGAACCTGTACTTGGGTAACTGATTTAGAGTGAGAACCCAGTGGGAAAATGTGACCATAAACCAGTCCAGAATCAACAGCTGAGGGCAGAAACTACCCCGAACACTTACCATATATGGGCACACCTGAGAACCTGGCCCAAAAATCAATTCACATTGTTTATTCACGTTGTAGAGGAGGCCTGGGAGTTGGGAAGGCAAAGGGTAGGTTCTGGATTCAGGTTCATTCAACAAGCACTCGCCATACCCAGTGCTACGGGAAGCAGAGACATACAGATGGTGAGCTAGGCTCCTGAAGGTTGCAGATGGGGGTGAAGGCCATGCACACACCTAGTGGCTGCAAGAACTGTTCCTTTTGGCCTTTGCTCTGTCCTCTTCACCCAAGGTTAAATCAAGGGTAAGTCTAGAAGCTAAAGCTGCATTTTTGACACATACTCTGTAGAAAGATACTCTCCACATAGGACAGAGCCAAGAGGAAATATAGTGTCTGAGGGAGCACCGATCTCCTGCAGGGGTCATTATCTGCTTATTTTTTTTTTTTTATAGTCCTTCCCAATAAACTGTAAGTATCTTAGGGCCACAGCTAGTGTCTGTTTATTTCTGTACAGGGCCCCGTCTGTAGCAAGAGGTATTTAGTGTTTGCTGAACAGATGACTCATAGCAGGAAAGTATCTTAAGCTACCTGCTTAGAAGAAAAACACCAGCTCTCAGTTTCATCTAGGTTTCCACAAACATCTCTTCTGGAAAATTTACACCAGGTAAGTTCTAATGAAGAAAGCCCGCCCCTCCCCTGCATCTGTTGTTGGAGAAATGTAAACCAGTGACCTTTGGCAATTGCTTAACCTCTGCACCTCCAGGAAAGGAGAGCACCAATTCTGTGATATGTGGACCTTGTATAATGTAATTGGGTCTTTGAGGAAGCTTAAAAAAAAGGTAAAGGGCATAAAGAGAAAGGAGAGAGAGGGAGAGGGAGGGGGAGAGGGAGAGGGAGAGGGAGAGGGAGGGGGAGAGGGAAAGGGAGAGGGAGAGGGAGAGGGAGAGGGAGAGGGAAAGGGAGAGGGAGAGAGAGAACATGCCCTTATTTCTACCACAAATTCTCTTCTGGCAACCTCTCACTACCCCATTCCTTCCAAGCCAAGATTACTAGGTTAGCAGCACATCATCACAGCCTTCTCCAAAGACCTGAATAAATTTCAAAGCATCACACAAATGCAGAAATATTTGCATATTCCCTTTAAGAACCAACTCTTTGCTCAGAGCAGTTTGTAATCTTCCAAACACTGGCAAGGCCATGCACTAACAGATGTCATAGGGTATTTTTTTTTCCCGCCTCCAAGGAATGTTATCAAAAACAACAACCCAAAAGGAATGCTAAACTCTGCGTTTTCTTTCCCTTAATGGTTTACTTTGTATAGCCCAGGCATTAGATTAGTGATTCTCAACCTTTAATTCAGTTCCTCATGCGGCGGTGACCCCCAATCATAAAATTATTTTGTTGCTACTTCATAACTAATTTTGCTACTGTTATGAATTGTAATGCAAATACTCTGATATGCGACCCCTGTGAAAGGGTTGTTCAAACCCCAAAGGGGTCATGACCCACAGGTTGAGAACTGCTGCACTAGGGGCTGTTACTGAAAGAAAGTTTAAGTCTTACTCCAAGAACTCAGTGATGTATTTTCGACTGCACTTGGACCACATCCAAGGGTTGGTGTAGAAGTTCAATGTTGGCGCCATGACGTGCTGGGGGCTCTTCACACCTTCTTCTTTGCATTTATTGCTGTCATCGTGAGGCATATTGAACCTAAAGTCGATGAAACAATGGTGAGAATGTCAGTATACCCTAGTGGTTCATGCTGGCATTGCTGCTTAATAATTCACCTAAGAGAAAACTGCCACTGCCTATCGTGCTGGGGAAAAGCATCTGAGTCCAGGTGAGCAGAATAAACTGTAAGACAATTCAAGACGGAAATTAGAACACAAGGGGATTTTTATCCAATTTAATATAAAGCACCTTTAGTGAATGTGTAACCATTTGTTGGGTTAAGTATGCTTTTTGGAATTGCAGAGGCTCCGAATGTGCTGTAGTTGGTGCTAGAATACAGTAGTTGGAAATCCTAATAGACAGTTAAAGGGTAATCCTCAGAGTCAAGATTTTGGTGGGATGCTGTACTACTGTTGATAAAAAAAAAAAAATCGGTGTAAAAACGGAAGCCAAGTGTTTTGTAGTAAGAGGATCCTCGTGGGCCTTGCATCTCCCATTTCTGGGCCAGGGTTGACAAGTGATACACCTGTGTTTATCAAGTAAAGTGCCATTATGAAGGTATGTAAAGTGTGTGCATGAACTCAAAAGAAGTCACACAGAGACCCCAGGCACACAAGGCCAGCCAGCGGAGGGAAGAGATGGCACAGCGATTCACATGCCAATGCCAGCTGACAGGAGCTGGCTTCCTGAAGAGCCCGACACAAGAAGATTCTTAAACTCTTTCTCGTTCTGCCTGAGGGAAGGCTGTGGAGCAATGCCAGTGTCCTCTTGGGCTTGGGCGGGTGACAACAGCGTTCACACATACTTTCCATTCTTGGCTTCACCAGAGGAAGTGGGGGGAAAATGATAGCATTTCCTCAGTGCACACCCCCTCCATGACCCACATGGCCTTCCAGCCCAGGCAATTATCCACCAGGTGACAGGGTCAGAGGGTCATCTTTTCTCTCTGGGAAAGACTGCTGTCAATCAGAAAACTGAGCTTGTGGTTAATTTAGCACTGAGAGAGGAATTCCCTTCTCTAGTTCACGCTGAACTCGGGAAACGTGAGTGAGATAGAAGGGTGTAGACCTGTTTCTTATAAAGGAGAAATCTGGACTAAAGCCTGTGCATCTGCTCCACTAGTTCTTTCGTGTTCTGTTTCTTTTTTCTTTAAAAAATGTGGGTCCTTCAGTTTGCCAGTAGAGACGGGAAAATGTGATCTGCGTTAGATGAATTTACTAAGTTCATAATACTGAAGAGGCCATCTCTTCCAAGAAGATGTGCTCCGGCTTGTGGGTGCCAGCTCTGGAGTCAACCTAACACTGACTCAAGCACACCTCAGGCCAAGGTGAGCATTCAAAACCTACCTGGCTTCTTTCCCTATGGTAGGCAGGCATTGCCCAACTCGCCATAACTAGCTAAAATGAAGTTTACTTATGTTATCATACAAATAAACAGAAACGTATTTTCATTTAAATAAGCACATCTGCTCACTGCTGGGGCTGTAATACCTATTTTTTGAATACTTACTGATCGATAATAACTGAGACTGTTCACATCCATAGTACACTCGGATGCGTATTCTGGGTTTTAGATGCTCTGTTTCGTAACTTATTTGATACAGGGAACAGTACAGTTGACTCACTGCATCCGAGGGTCACGCATCCACAGGTTCCATCAATTGTGGATGGAACATATTTAGGGGGAAAACAAACTTGTGTTGGTACATATGTGCATGGACTTCTCTCTCCCCCAGTCAATAGAATATAATGGCTATTTTTGTTGTATTAGGCATTATGAGTCATCTAAATATTATTTATTGTATATAGCAAATAAGCACAGGTGACATGAAAATTCAATGCCTCTTCATAAAAAGGGCTTGAGTACCCGTGGAGTCTGGTATTTATGCCAGGTCCAGGAACCAGCCTCCCACAGAGAGCCAACAATGAGTCTACTATTCCCCACACTTTGTAGACGAGCAGCTAAGGCATATAGAGAACTTTCATCACCTGATAATTCAGGTCAAAGTGTCACTCAGATGGGGAACCTGGAAATACAAGTCATCTTGAAGATTCTCTGTATTTCATGAATATGTCTTAGGAATCAGAAAGACCAAGGAGATATTGACTAAGCCAGTCTGGCCTGTCTACGCTGAAATCCTGGATTACATTCTAAACATTAGATCTCTGATAAAGTTTTCTTGGGAGAAAACAGCAAAGGTGTATGAAAAGGGAAAGGGTGAAAGGCACTTGTTGAATTGAACTTCTGGATGTGTGCATGCAGCATGTACGTGTGTGCACACATCCTGCTCCATACCTAGCACAGCATATACAAGAGGTGTTTGAAAAGCATTTGAATTGAAAAAGCTTTCTTTTCAGTGATAATGTTAGCTGTGTACAAACCTCGAATCTGACCCAAAAGGACGTACAGCTCCACTACACTAATGATTCTCTTGAGAAAACCATTTTAATCACATGCACTGTAATTATTTTAGAAACACACTAATGTGTTCCCAAATCAGAATAATTTCTGGTAAATTCACACCGATTTGCCCTGTCTCCTCTTTGTGCTCTCTCTCAGATAAACAAACAAGGAGAGTTATCTCATAATGGCCACTTTCTGGTTGTAATCTGGAAATTGAATCTTCCTCTGCAGCATTGTTCATCTTCTTCTCTGAAGGAAGGACATTGCTGTCTTAGATGCTAACTGTCTGAGTAATAGCCATGTATAACCAGGGTTCGGAACAATCTGGATCAGTTAAAATCTGTGGACCAGAGCAACGTTGAGGCAACCTTCTGGACACAGATGTTGAGTCAAGAAAGTTCTCCAAGCGAATTCACCCTTTGCTGTGCTAGGCAGGAATCAAAACGCATCTTTTCCTTGAGTCTCCAGGGGGAGGAGAAAAATTATTAGACTTTGCTCATCAAACACAAACAGTTCAACCAAAGACACACAGAACTAGGGTTGAAGAGGGTGGATCGCCTTTACTCAGTGTCTCACAAAGGTTCAGCTTCTTTCATCCTGTCAAATCTACTCTGAAGTCTTGGCTCCATTAAAGTTAAGAAAACACTCCCTGGTAAACACAGCTTTAGGGGACGATGAATGGAATGACTTACACATGGCCCAGCTCGTGGGCTATTGTGAAAGCTGTGCTCAGCCCACTGTCTTCACTAATGGAACAACTTCTGTAGGGGTCACAGATGGTTCCCAATTCAGCAAGACCTATTCGGAGAGAAGGGGAGAAACCAACCTGGATTTACTTTTAGAAGCAATTGTGACTCGGAAGAGAAACATCGAGGAAACCATTTTAGCCATGGGGACATGTACGAGACTCACCTAAGGTGTCACATTTGTCCTGAGCTCTGCAGATATCCTCCCTAAAAGCAAAACAGACTTAGGCTGTGACAACACCAGAGTAAAGGTCAACACAGGAAAATCCTCAGACTTCTGGTCCATTTTGGGGGACAGGGATAACAAAACATAAACTAACAAGGCCATCCGGGGTTTTGCAACTCCCCAAGTGTCAGGAACCATAGATTTAAAGGTTAAAGGTTACATGGAGAAGTCTACTGCTATCTCCAGAGTAGCCACAGAACAATTATACGTGCCCCACCCCACCTCGGGAAAACTTTCCTCAGTGCCTACTGTCTGAGTTCATTTAAGAGGAGTGAAGGGCTGGCGGTTGTGGCTTTGGTGTAAAGCCCACGTGCAAGGGCCCAGCCCTGGATTCAATCTCCAGCAAGGGCTTGTGGGGCAATGAGAGTGTTTATAACTATGTCAGAGATGGCCCATGATAAGAGAAACCATTAAGCCAGCATCTCCTTCTTGCTTGTACATTCTTAAAACATTCTTTGAGAGTAGTTTATCATATAAAAATTGGGAAATTTTTATTAAAAAAAATTCTTCTTTCTGGCTTCTTGAAAAAACAAATCACCTAAGTTGGCAACACTAGACTTAGGTCCTACACGGCAGCCACCAGCTGGATTCGGCCAGCGGCATCCCCTGCTACAGAAGGTCACTTGCTTTCAGGCCTGCCTTACATACTGAGTCCTCATGTGGCATGTGTATGTTAGAGGCTCTCAGCCAGAAAGGCACCCTCCCTCACCCTCAGGGCACATGCAGCATTGTCTGGTGACCTTGCCAGTGGTCATAATTGAGAGGCCAGAGTTCTACTGAGGTGTAGAGAGCAGAGATGAGGGATGTTGCCAAAAGCACTGACGTGCTCAGGGTAGCCTGTTCAACAAAGAACTATCTGTATAAATTGTCCAGAGTGACTACGCTGAGAACTTCCCATGTAGGACTGGCTACCAGCAACAAGGGACCCTTCCCATCAAACCGATCTGACACCATGAGATATGAGGAATCAGCATTTACCTTGTGACCAGAACAGCGGTGTCATGCTGTATCCCACCTAAGTGGTTCTTGGCATGCTGCCACTGGCAAAAGTTTTTTAGTGTTGTCTGGGCATTGAAACTTATGGAAGGTCCTTCCTAAACACAGAGAAGAATTGCTCTTGGTCTATGCAACAACACCAATTAGATATGCCATTTCGGATACAGATAGAAGAAGAGAGAAAAATAAACTTTATTACCTGTTCATTATGAATCACAACTAAGTTCACAATAACAATATTAATTAAATTTCCAATACTTGAGTCTTTATAGATAGAAGCTACCTGCAACCGAGATAAATTTTTCAAAGTTAATGATGGACTCTGTGTAAGCAATAAGCAATTCACTTCTCAGGTTGGGTTCCAGCACTTTTTACGTTTCATGCAACACGTGTTTTACGGTTCTGAATGTTCACTGTTTAAACACTGATTTATAGTCTCTTTGTAAAATTCATAGATGGCAGTTTTAGATAAAAATGAATTCCAGCAAATTTCAATTCTGAGGTATTTTCCCCTTGAAGCTGAATCATTGTCTGACTTAATAGTTATTTGTTCCAAAGCATTGCATATTAATTTCCCATCAAGCACTTTCCTGTCCTTTGGAGTCCTGGGTTCCCACATCAATGCTGGCTCTTGTTCCTCGTGCTCATTGTCCATTTATGTGCTCAACAGCAGTGTAATCTGTTTCTGCATTGTTTGTTATCATAACTTATTATGTTAGCTACATTCACTGTCACTTACCACAAACTAGATTCTGGAAGAAAACTGCATTTGCATTTAGTTCCCACAGCAAAACTCTGGGCTAGGTACCACTACCATCCCTTTGAAACAGAGAGGTCCTAGAAGCTCAGAGAGATTAAGTAACTTGTCTAAGACTGTACAGCGGCAAGCAGCAGAACTAGAGGTGACAGACTAGGTTATCTGACCCAAGAGCTGCTACTGTAGTCAAAAGTCTCTGATAGACCTGAAATAATGGGGTGGACATGGAGCTGGGGCTTGCAAGGTCTGCTTGGGTTTCCTTCTGTCCCCTGGGTATGAGAGGGCTGGGGGCATATGGGACATGTGGGGATAGAAGTGAGGATAGGCAGGTGAGAGGGAAGCTGGTTGGATACCATGTGGGGATGGCCCACAGCAGTAAGGGACGAAGCAAGGAGCAGGACAGGCCATGGAGAGGGACAGCCTAAAAGCAACATTCTGAAGCATGGTGGCTTTTTACAATGCTTCTGGGAAATTCATTCAAAGCAAGCTGTTGTTCAGGTAAAGAAGGGTTAATCCATAAAGGGGAAACGAGCGACATCAGATCTCCATGCACCACCGGGTAAGATTAATTTTTAAAAAAATACCAAGGTATTATAAGGGAGTATATGAGAATGTTCCCTTTCTGCTTGCGTGGAAGTTGTGAAGTCATTTCTCTGCATCTCTGGGAGCCTGGCTCCGGGACAACTGAGGACAGCAAACCATGAAGTGCTCGAGCTGCCTCTGTAACATGTGCATCATCTACAAGGAGCCTGTGGACAATCTTCCACAGCCTTTCAGTCATCTTGGGGTTACTTATGTCATATTGATAAGGGAATGATAAGAAGAAAGTCTATATGTTAAGTTTAGCATAGGTACAAGCTTTTTTGTGAAGTGTATGTGTATATGCACATGTGTGTGTCTGTGTGTATGTGCGTGTGCATGTGCATATGTGTGTGTGTGCATTTGAGTGCACAGATGTGGATGTGCGTGTGGAGTGGTTTTTTCTGGGGAACTGTCCACTTTGTATTTTTTAGAGCAGGATCTCTTACTAGCTGGGAGCTGGTCAAAAGGGCAGTGTACCTTTCTCTTCCTCCCTGGTGCTGGGATTACAAGTGCACACCACCACATCTGCTGTTTACATATACACTGTGATTGAACTCAGGTCCTCATGTGTGAGGGAAGCACTTTGTCGGCTGGGCTAGCTCTCTAGCCTTGGCAAATATTTTTGATACATGGTTCGTTGAATGGGCAGAAACTGGATTTTGAAGGCTTAGTATAGAAAACACTTTATGTAAATTCTTTCATCATAATTGTTGAAATGATACTATATGGGTACAAAAATAGATTAGAATTAATTTTATCTGTTTTGTTACTTTCTTTAAAATGTACCCACTAGACTATTCAAAATTCAATATGTGAATTAGATCATTTTTTTTTTTAATTGCTAGAAGCAGCAGGAACTTTAACAACAGTTCCTCTGGGAAGGTGCAGGGAACAAATAGAGAGAAGGATATGTCGTGTTAGGTTTGACTTGATTTTCCAATCATGCAGATTTCTTGTGCTTCCAATATAATACAGGAGTAGAAAAACGCAGAAATTCCTAGGTGTCATCCATAGCCTACTTGATTATCACCCTGAGTAAGAGGCAAGACTGAGCAGATGCATTCTGAAAATGCATCATGGGTGACTGGGACTCCAAACCAGCACCACACAGGACTGCCAGGCTGTGCAAAGCTCCTAAGTTAGGCAGAGAACTCGAGGGTCCAGAACAAACAGCCTGAGGGTAACGTGTAGCATCGATGCCTCTTGCTAGCTATGCCTGACCATAGGCAGGTAACAAAACTCCTTGGAGAGTCAGTGGTCGTGTCCATAAAATGAGGATGGTAGCTCAGCCTAAGCCCATTGCCAGAAGGATTAGAAACAATGCTTTTCAAGTAATAAATGCAATATCTAGCAGAGAATCGACATGCACTACCAATACCCACTCCCTTTATGATATAAAGGCAACCAGTGAACGGCCACATACTCCTGGGTCGTTTGCCTGAATGGCTGACATGCCAGCCCTGACCGATGCTAGAATCAGAACGGAAAAGAAAACCCATCCTCCAGCAGCACACTGAGTCAGCTCATGAATCGCCTTCTGTGTGGTATACTTACAATCGACATCAGGGTTAAAATATAATGCTGAAGGTTTGCTCCATGGTACAAAACCATTCTGTGGTCAGCTACCACCATCACTTCTACAAACCGTGGGTAGGACAAGAAGCGTTTGGCTCTTTTGTGGTTCCTCCTGTCCCTCGTGCCGCTTGTCTTATTGCTGTACCCGGAGAACATTTCGGTTGCCAAGCCGCTCTTTAACAGAGCCACATCATCGGCCAGGCTGTTCCTCTTTCTCCGCTTTTGCAGTCTGCTTTTCCGCTTGTCTTTATTGTGACTGTTCTTGAATTCTGTAATAAATCAGATGACATTCATTCCTTACAGAGCAGTTGTACTACACTTGTACTGAACATTGTGCATGTTTTAAAATGATGCCTTTAAGGTAACAAGATGGCTCAGTCGGTAAAGTGTTTGCTGTCCAAACACAAGGACCTGACTTTGGAGTTTGGCTCCCTGGCACCCACAGAGACAAGCAGGCTGGTTCTGGGAACCGAAATATCCTGGCTGGGGAGGCAGACACAGGCGGACCCTTGGAATTCACTGGTAAGCCAGCATAGCTGAATTGGTGAGCTTCACATTTAATGTGAGACATGATCTCAAAAAACAAGATGGAGAACCATGGAAGACACCAAACAACACTGACCTCTAGCTTCCACATGCACATAGAGAGGAACACATACACACACCACACTCACACACACACAAGTAAACAAAATGCCTCTATAGTCAAATGTCATACAAAATAAACTGCAGACAATGAGCTGTATAAATAGAACTCAAGCCACACTCATTCTGACGTGCCTACATGTCTAAGACTAGCTTCCCTAGGAAGCTTCAGTTGATGCACACCGATTACTCCAGAATGTCAGGCTTGGGTTATGGGAAATGGCAGTATATGGTTCCTTCCACTGGGTAACAAAAGCCTTGTTAGGATTTAGATGATTCTTATCCATTGATCTTTATCATGGATAGAGTAAAAGTCAATTTTATAACAGAGCTCGAAGGAAGGAAAATTATATTCCCTTTTAAATGTATTTTTTAAATTTTCTTTTTGAAATTAAATGGCAGATGGCAGAGAGAGAGAGAGGTCTGAGAGGTAACTGGCTAAAGAAAATATGAAAGAGCCGGGCGGTGGTGGCGCACGCCTTTAATCCCAGCACTCGGGAGGCAGAGCCAGGCGGATCTCTGTGAGTTCGAGGCCAGCCTGGGCTACCAAGTGAGTTCCAGGAGAGGCGCAAAGCTACACAGAGAAACCCTGTCTCGAAAAACCAAAAAAAAAAAAAAAAAAATTAAAAAAAAAGAAAATATGAAAGACATTAGGAAACACAGAATCAAGTATTCTATTTCTTTATCAGGTCGCCATCCCAAGTGAAACAGAAGAACAGAGTCACAGCCATTCAGTGCCTCCGAGCTTGCAATGGATTCATCGCAATGATTAGCAAAGGAAGCAGATCAGGACAGGGTGCAGGCCAGCAGTTCGGCCTGTGGCGTATGTCAAGGTAGCTCGATGAATCTCCAGGCCTCCTAGGTGTGTGTGTGTGTGTGTGTTTGTACCCACAGAAGCTAGGCTTAAACTGTTCCTAAAGGGCTTCATAGTAAGCTCAAATTTTGAAATGCACTATTCAATTTTCATATCACCAATCACAGAACAAACCAAGTACACATAAAAGGACCTGCGAAAAGATATTTTGAATAAAACTTGATTTAATCAGTTACCTTGCTTATCAGTTCATAGACGTGCATTCATGTTATAGTGACAAAGCAGAATTGTATGACTAAGAAGTATGCTGCAGTGGCTAAGACCTGAGAAAAAATCCTTTCATCAATACCAAACAAATACAAACCAAAAGGTTAAACTCTTGAGTGGTTTCATATTTGAAACACCCAAATACTTGACAACTATAACCACTTGCTTAAAAAAATTAAGCCCAGGATGTGCACTGGACCAACTTGAACATGTTGATTATTAAAATGGTGAAACTTTTTCAAACTGTCAGACAGGTCCTATGCTTTGCAACTATATAAACACAACTAACCCAAAGCCCAGGACTTGGGAGCACGCACTATTGGACGTTTTCTCCTAGTCTCTCTTTCAAGCATATTCCCAGTATACCAATGCCAATTAGCTAGGCTGCCATTCAGGTTTCATGTCACCAGATGAATATAGAACAGATACTCATTAGGCATCTAAAATAGGCCAGGAACGGCACTTTTTTGTATCTTAATCTTGTATATAACCTCACATGTTACACTAGTTTCAAACGGAGGAAACGACCTCTGTTTTATAGATAAGTAAATTACTATCAAGAAGCTGAGCAGTTGGCCAAAGTTACATAGCAGTGAACACAGGTAGGAGGACTCAGGCACATATCTGACCAGCACCCTACACTGTACTCTTACCAATTGGCAAGATTTTTCAACAGCTAAAGGTAAAACCAGTTTATAGCTTGGTTAAGCATTACCAAAGGGAATCTGAACTGGGAACTAGCTAGTTACCAGTGGACATTTTTCAAGAGAGTTTGATTTTTACATTAGGTAAGTGAGACATGTTGAAACGCAAAATTACTTCATAGATTAAGAAAATACTCCATCGATTTCATAGGAAATACTCCTTGCTTAATGCCGTCTGCGAATGTCCTTTTGTGGGGGGTGTGGGGGAGGCATGTATGTGCATATGCATGTGGAGACCAGCAGACAACCTCATATATAGTTCCCCAATATCTGCCCACACCAGTTTTTGAAATACAGTCTCTCTCTGGAATCTGGTGCTCACCAAGAGGGCAAGATGGGCTGGCCAATGAGCCCCAGGGATCTGCCTGTCTCCATCTCCATCTCCCTCTCTCCACCGCTGGGATCACAAGTATACACCACTACATGCAGGCTTCCTAGGGACTGAACTCAGGTCCTTCGGATTATTGACTGCATCAGGCTTAGAGTTGGAACTTTCCCAATGATTTGACCTTTGGATCTTTAGAAGACACTGTGCAGAACTTTATTAATAAAATGACAGGCATCCGTCACCATGAATTCAGTCATATGAAATGCTCAGAATAAGAATTCAGGTAGAGCAAGGAGGCAAAGGAACAGTTGCTTCAGGCTGGGGATGTAATAAGGATGAGAAGGGGAAAGTGAGCCCTAAAGAGGACAGTATTTTAATTTCAAAGTGTGCTAAAATAGACTGTAATATCTTCACCTATCTGTGGACATACCCCAAAATGCTGATTTATACATTAAATGAGTGACTAGTATGGTCAGAAAATGGTGATTCAATAACATTGTTTTCAACAGACAGGATGTCTTTCTTCTATCAGTTTCAATATTTCAGGTTTCACAGTGGGGTCTCTGATTAATTTAGAGTTGATCTTTGTGCAAGGTGATAGATACAGGGCTAATTTCCTTCTTCTACCTGCGGACGTCCAACTTCCCCAGCACCACTTGTTGAAGATGCTGTCTTTTCCCCAGTGTGTATTTTTGGCATCCTTGTCAAATGTCAGATGCCTGTAGCTGCATGTACTTACTTACATGTGGGTCTTCTATTTTGCTTCATTGATCTATATGCTTTTGGCCATTATCACTCTATTTTTATTACTATAGCTCTGTAATATATCTTGAAATCTGGAGTTATAATCCCCCCAGCATTTTTTCCCCCAGCATTGCTTTGGCTATCAGAATTTCGTGGTTCCAGGTCAATTTTAGATTTTTTTCTACTTCTGTGAAGAATGTTGTAGGGATTTTGATAGAGATTGTATTAAATTTGTAGATGACTTTGGTAGAACAGTCATTCTCACAGTACTAATTCTGCTAATCCAGGAGCATGGGAGGACTTTCCATCTTTTTGGTATTTTCACTGTGGAGGACTTTCACCTCCTTGGTTAAGTTTATTTCTCAATTTTTGAAGCTGTTGTGAATAGAATTGTTTCCATAATCTCTTTTTCACAGTGTTTCTTGCTGACACACAGAAAGACTTCTGGTTTTATTAAGTTGATTTTGTATCCTGCCACTTTACTGAAATTTTGGGAAAGGACATTCTGAACAGAACTCCATCTGCCCAGGAATTAAAGTCAATCGTTGACAGACAGGACCTTATAAAACTAAAAAGGTTCTGTCCAGTGAAAGAAATAATCAGAGTGAAGAGGAAACCCATAGAGTGGGAGAGTATCTTTGCCCACTATGCATCTAATAGACAATTAATATTCAGAACATGGAAGGAACTCAAAAAACAGAATGAAGACAACAAATGACTCAATTCAAAAATGATCTAGGGATCTGAACAGATTGTTCTCCAAAGAAGAAATAACAATGACTAAGAGATATCTCTAAGAAGTATTTAACATCTTCACCAGTTAGGAGATTCAAATTCAAACTACTCTGAGACTTCATCTAACACCAGGTAGGATAGCTAAGATCAACAAAACAACCAACAACAAATGCCAGCAAGGATGGGGACAGGAGAAATTCATTGTTGGTGGGATTGTAAACTGGTCCAGTCACTATGGAAATCAGTGTGGACAAACCTCAAGATGCTAAAACTAGATCTCCCATAGAGCCCTGCTATACCACTCATTGGCGTATGCTCAAAAGACTTGACATTCTACTCCACAGATACTTGCTCAGCCAAATTCATTGCTGTTTTACTCACAATAGCCAGGAAGTATAAACAACTTAATGTCCTTCACCTGATAATCAAAATGTGATACATATTCAGCTGAAAGAAAAATGAAATCACGAAATTTGCAGGTAAATGGATGGAATTAGAAATTATTATACTGAGTGAAAGCTGGACATGGTGGCACACATCTTTAATGCTAGCACTCAGGAGGCACAGCAAGTCTCTGAGTTCAAGGCTAGCTTGGTCTACAGAACTAGTTCTACATAGCCAGAACCACAGAGAGAAACTGTCTTGAAAAACAAAACAAAAACCAAACAAAATATTATACTGAATGAGGCATCTCAGACCCAGAAAGGCAAATGCCACATGCTTTTTTTCTCACATGTGACTCTTAGCTCCAAATCTTTAGATGTAAAGTATGCTTAGAGTAACTGCAGAAACCAGGAAAATAATGAGGGACCACAGTGAGTGGAGAAGAAGGGAAGACGGAGCTATAGGGAAGGGAACAGCAGGATTCAGGTGCTGTGAAGAGGGAAATAAATGGGTAAAACAGGACAGGGAGTGGAAACTGCCTGGGAAGCGAGAGTGTGTGTGTGTGTGTGTGTGTGTGTGTGTGTGTGTGTGTGTGTGTGTGTATGTGTGTGTGTACACACATATGTGTATATAGTTTAAACGAAGTTA